GTACATTTGCTTGTATGTTTTGCAGATCAAATCAGCCGCAAGTAGGCAGGAACACTATCCAACATGGTTTGAAGAGTTGGTTGGAGGTCCTCTATCAAGGGCAATGGCATACCCGATGTATTGCACTCGAGGCTACGTTTTCATAAAACGTCCAGGGATTACTAACAGAAAAACAGTGAATTATGGGGTCGTTGTTCGTACAGATTCGATAGACTACTATGGTGAAATTACTGATATATTAGAGGTTGAATATCCGGGAGTCATAAATTTGAAATGTATACTCTTCAAGTGTGACTGGTATGATCCTAGAGTTGGAAGAGGTGTTAGACTTACAAAGTATGGTGTCACAGAGATCAACTCGACTAAGCAGTTAAGAAAGTACGATCCGTTTATACTTGCATCTCAGGCAGCACAGGTTTGCTACATACCATATCCACAAGTAGGTGTTCGACAATATCCATGGATTACGGCTCATCAAATAAATCCAAGAAGCAGAGTTGATGGGGTGAAAGAAAAGGAACCGCTACAACAAATTGCAGTAAACGAAATTACGCAAGTAGATCAATCTGTCGGTGACATTCCCCTCGTTGATATTGAGAACATAGAAGTCGAACAGATATGGGAAAATGCGGAAGACGAAGAGGATGGAGAAGAGTTTGAAGATCAAAATGATTCTGCTAGTTCAGATTATTCTTCCGATTCTGAGTAAATCAAATATATCTTCTTTAGTTTTATATATATATTTTATAAAATCTGTTTAAATGCTTTTAAATTTATCATATTATATGCATTATAATTTATTTGTTAAAAAAAATCTGTTTCTATTTTATAATAATTAAACCATTCTAATATTTTATTTTATTCATACTTTCGTCGGAACTGTCGTATGAAACGTTTGAGATTAAATTTGTACCGCTTAAATATATCTTGATACAAAACAGGGTATATTTAATTAAAGAAATACTTGACACAAAATAATTAAAATTATTTAAATTAATATACCCTGTTTCCGACGAATTTTCCAACGACATTATTTTCTCCTACGGAAAATCGTCGGAATTAGGCTATATTGAATTAATTTATTTTTTTTACTTTTCTTTCAGAAATACTGAAGCGGGAACATTTTCCGACGAATGTTCCGACAAATTTTTAAATTTCGTCGGAAAATTCGTCGGAAATAGTTACATTAATTTCTCTGACGTTCGAGATAAGTAAACGGCAATAGATTTAATGCCCAATTTCCGACGAATTTTCCGACGAAATTAAAAAATTTGTCGGAACATTCGTCGGAAAATGTTCCCGCTTCAGTATTTTTGAGAGAAATGTACAAAAAATATTTTATTTCTTTTCGGATAATTCGCCAGGATTAGTTGCAGAAATATTTCTGACGCCAGGAAAATGTAAACGGCAATAAATTTAATACCCAATCTCCGACGGAATTTCCGACGACCATATTTATCGGAAGTTGGACATTAAATCTCGCGAATTCCCGCTGCATTGTTTCCGACGAATTTCCGACAAATACACAATCTCCGACGGAATTTCCGACGACCATATTTGTCGGAAATTGGACATTAAATCTCGCGAATTCCTGCTGCATTGTTTCCGACGAATTTCCGACAAATATGGTCGTCGGAAATTGTTATATATATACGACTCACATATTTTTACCTCTTACACACTTCTCACACACTTCTCACACACTTCTCACCTCTCTCTACAAAATCTCTCTAAAATTTCTCTGTGATAAACAAACGTTAAGGTAAGATGTTTAGTTTTATTTTCTTCATAATTTTGTTTATAAAATTCAAAAGACTAATTATAAATTTTTTATTTGATTAAGGAGATGGATAATGGATCGTGGAGTGGATATATGGCGTATTGTAATGAACGTGGGTTTGCTCCGGATTTGAATCTTGGTTCCGAAACCCAACCACCGGATGATTTTCCCATGGAGGACACGGAAGTTCCGGAGACGGAACCATTGGCGATGCCTACACGGAATGATGATGCAAATCCACTCGATTCTATGACGCTAGACCAATTACTCCGTGCTCCGGGTCGAGAGAAATTGAAAAAGATCGACCCAAGCCGTATGAACGGAACAACTTGGTAAGAAATTGTATTATTTAATTTATAGTTTTATGTAGATAATCTCAATTAAATAATTTGGTAATTATAGGTATAGATTCGATAAAGGATTCACAAAGATTATCAAGAAAATCATGGAGAGCGATTTCCCCGATCCCGCTCCGAATATTACGTCGGTCTCCGGAGACACAAAGAAACGTTGGTTTAAGGCATTTGCGGTTAGTTTATTTAAATAAAATTTATGCTTTATTTACTTTGTTTATAATTTTAGCTAAAAAAATTAAATTTTAAAATTTTACAACACTAAAAATATATATATTTTAAATTTTTTAATATTGTAGCAAAAATTTTATTGGGATTATGGTCTTACGGCCGAAGTACAAGAAAAATTTGAGGAGATATGTGGGAGTCGTTTATTGGATTATGTTTATGGATGGAAAAAGAAATGGCTTAACGGGAAAGAAAAGCCAAAATGGATGCGAGAAAACGTTTGGCAAGGGCTTATTGCATATTGGTTACAAGAGCAAAATAAATCCCGTAGTGAAACTAATTCTCAAAATCGCAAGAGTGAACGCGGAGGCTATGGCATGGCTAAACATACTTGTGGATCAATGCCATATGTCCGGAAAAAGGAAAAAATGGTAAATAAAAATTTAAATTTTTTACATTTCAATTTGCATTATAATAAATTTTATTGTAAATTTTTAACTAATAAATATTTTAAATGCAAGCGTAATCCCGAAACCGGTGAGTATCCCGATATGGTGACATTCATGGAGGAGACTCACAAACGGAAATCGGACGGGACATTTGTTGATAAAAAAGTTGAGGCAATAGCTCGTCGATGTCGGGAGATGGAGAAAGAGAAACTCACACAATTGAGTCAACATTCGGACACGCCTGCTGATTATCAACTCACCCAAGCAGAAAAAAACAATATTTTCCGATCGGTAAGTAATAGTAATTAAAATATTATAATTTAGATAATATGTTTTATTTCCTAACAACATTTTCATTATAATAGCAAGTTGAAGTTAAAAAAGGACGTAGATTTGGATTCGGTTCCATTCCGTTTGACGAAGACATGGGCGGAAGTTCGTCATATTCACATGCACACGTGAATTGTCAAGAAAACGCAGCCGAAATCATCGAGTTGAAGACTCAATTAAAAGATTGTAAGTTTTGGATGGATATGATGGCCCGTCTTCTCGCCAAGATCAACCCGAAAATCAAAATGAAACAAATAACGTTGACACTCTATTTGATAATATATAATATTCGCGTTTGTAATAATTTTTAGTTGTTTAAGAACTTATTAATGTTTAATTATGTTTTTTATATTATGTGGTGAATTTTATTTTTTTTAATTATGTTTTTATATAATATTTGTGTTTGTTTTATTGAATTATTACAATTAAATTAAATTAATATTATTTAATTTAATTAATTATATTAATTAACAATAAAATATAAATATTTTTTTTAAATAAAATATAATATTTCGTCGGAAATTCATCGGAAAATAATAAAAAAATACGATTTGTCGGAAATTCGTCGGAAACTATTAAATATATTATTATATTATATTTTGTCGGAAATTCGTCGGAACGTTCCGACGAACTTCCGACGATTTGTGCTCGGAAAATCATCGGAATCGTACTCGATCTTGCGGCGTCGTTTGTAGGAATCTCCTCGGAATGGCGTCGGAATATGCCGTCGGGATATCGTCGGCAATTTTCCGTCGCTATTCCGACGGACATTTCCGACACCTTTCCGACGGGCTTTCGACGAATATTTCCGACGATTTTCCAACAAATATTTCCGACGAATTTTCTGACAACTCATCCCGACAGAAATTTCCGACGAATTTCCGACGAATATTGTTTTCCGACCAGAGAATTCCGACAAACTTGGTGTAGTCGGAAATTCGTCGGAAACATCCATTTTCCGACTATTTGGTTTGTCGGAATTTGCTATGTTTTCTTGTAGTGATAGCTCTGATAATTTAAAATTAATGTGGTTAATTCGCAAGTTTAAATTTCACAAAAATATTTTATATAACATAAATGCTTAATCTCATGCACGTTCTCTTTTTAGGAGATATGTATATATAGGGACTAATATATATATTCACGTATTCGATGATGAATTTTTGGGAAAATTAATTATAGTCGATACCGCCACTACATAACTATTACAAGTCCAATAAAAAACAAAAGAAACTAGTATGAGTCAATGACCTTAATATCTTTGATAAGTATATACTTAAAACTTTATTTATAAATTTAACCGCCACAAATTTTCCATAGCACATATAGTCAACTTAACAAATTATAGGTTAGTGTTGTTTGGTAATTATTAATTAGTATACCAAACAAGTTATAACCATTTTATTTTATTCAATGAGTGTAGGTAAAGAATCTTGAAATGGTGTTTTCTATTCTTATGTATATATTTGACAACCAATAAAATTTTCTAACCCGATCAAATAAATCTAAATTTTACATGTTAAACTAAAAAGACATATTTCCTTAGCTTAGTGAAACTTGATTATATTATGTCCTTCCAATTTTTTCACCATTTTTACCCTTCAAAATTTCTTAAGCTTTCCACACATATACTAATTTCACAGCTTTATATGAGACATCACTTTCATACAACAACAAAAGCAATAATAGATTTTCTGGTACATGTATCAAAAAGTTGTGCGGCCTGCGTCAGAAAAATGCAAGCACAAAACAAAGAAAGTAAACAAAAATATCCAAACAGTGAATCTAATTATAAAATTCTGACTACTTTTTTTTTGCAAAAAGTAGGATAAAATCGAATTTAATTCTTTTATCGAAAGTCGGATAGATCCTATGTCGCTATCTGAAATTAATGTACATATGAAAAAAACTAAATTTAAAAAAAAAAAACGCACAAAAAGAAAAACAAAAAGAGAGAGAGAGAGAAAGAAATCGAGTTTAACTGCTCGTGTCTCTCTGTGCCACTCATCTTCAGTTTTGTAAGCGTCTTCATAACTTATAAAGTTGTATCGATCTCTCTTCTTCTTTCTTTGGTCACTCTCTGCGTCTTTCTTTCTTTCTTTGTTAATAATAATCCCAAAAGAAAGATAAACAAAAAAGAAAAGAAAAAAACACAACTTTCTTGAAACCGTGTTTGTTTCGTGTAATTTTCATAGTTGTTACAGATTCTCTCCTTTTGGGTTCTTTTTGTAATCATCATTTCATTGACTGATTCTGTTTTTTTTTTTTTTTTTGTAATTCCTTATTACAAAGGTTTTTTTTTGTTTCTTTGTTTTGTTTAGCTTTATTATCCATTTCCATCAGAACCAGAGTTGTTCGTTGTTGCTCTGTAATAACAACAACTCGAGTCAATTCTTATACTTAAGGAAAAAAAAAGTTTCAATTTTTGGTCTCATCTCAGTCGAAAATTGCTCAAAATAGTTATCGATTTCTAGGGCTCTGACTGGTTTTGATTAAAGGAATCAATTCAGGGGAGATTTCGAGTTCTGTTGTTGTTACAAAAATGGCGGAAAGGGTCGAAGCATCTGTAACAGAAGGAGAAAATACTATTGAAGAAAGAGAAGTAGGAGCTATGTGGGAATTAGAGCAGAAACTTGATCAACCCATGGATGAAGAAGCTAATAAGCTTAACAACATGTATAGTAGAGAAAAGGTTATTACTTTCTCAATAGACTCGTTTTAGACTTTGATGGCTATTCTGAGAATTTGAGAGAAAGTTGAGGTTTTTAAAGTTTTCTCTGTTTTTATTAATCAGGGCTTATCAATGTTGATGCTTCTAAGGCTGTCTTTTCAAAGTCTAGGGATAGTTTATGGAGATTTAGGGACTTCTCCATTGTATGTGTTCTACAATACATTCCCTGATGGAATTGATGATAGTGAAGATGTAATCGGAGCTCTTTCTTTGATCATTTACTCTCTTTTGCTTATACCTCTTATCAAGTATGTGTTCATTGTCTGCAAAGCTAATGATAATGGTCAAGGTAAGGTTAAATCCGCGATTACTAATTGATGTTTTTGAACCAACCGGCTTTGGTGTATGCTCATTTGGATCGGTCAATGTTGTTTTGCAGGTGGGACTTTAGCGATATACTCGTTGCTTTGTAGACATGCTAAAGTGAAACTAATCCCGAATCAGCACCGCAGTGATGAGGATCTCACGACTTATAGTCGAACAGTATCCGCTGAAGGGTCTTTTGCTGCTAAAACCAAGAAGTGGTTGGAGGGTAAAGATTGGAGGAAGAGAGCTCTTCTGGTCATTGTTCTTCTCGGGACTTGTATGATGATCGGTGATGGTATCTTAACTCCAGCCATCTCCGGTAAGCTTCTTTGCTTCCTTTCTCCTTAAGGTTTACAAAAAAAAAGATGACAGGTTTACTGAAAGTATTAGTTTGCAAAATCATCTTTTTACAGTTCTTTCGGCAACTGGTGGGATCAAAGTCATCAAACCAAATATGAGCGGCGGTAACATTCACCGCTTCTTATGTTAATTCAGGTTTCCGATCGGTTCATTTTTGCTAACTTGCTACTTTTCTCTTTGCAGATATCGTTGTGCTCGTGTCTATTGTCATTTTAGTGGGATTGTTCAGTATGCAACACTACGGTACAGACAAAGTCGGATGGCTCTTTGCGCCTATCGTGCTTATTTGGTTCCTCTTCATTGGAGCCACTGGGTTATACAACATCTGCAAACATGACACAAGCGTTTTAAGAGCGTTTTCGCCCACATATATATACTTGTACTTCAAAAGACGAGGTCTTGATGGTTGGATATCGCTTGGTGGCATTCTTCTCAGCATAACAGGTAATTGATTATACACCTTTAAATCTCCAAGAGATTCATTTTAAAGCCATCTAAATGTTACTTCTTGAATATTGCAGGCACGGAGGCACTCTACGCAGACATTGCTTATTTCCCGTTACTAGCGATACAGCTCGCCTTTACGTTTTTTGTGTTCCCTTGTCTTCTTCTAGCATACTGCGGACAAGCTGCGTATCTTGTAAATCATAAGGAACATTATCAAGACGCGTTCTATGCATCTATCCCGAGTTTGTCCTAAATCTTCTTAAAGCTTTACCGGTCTTGAAGTCATACATAGTGCTCTAACAAAACTCTGAAACTCTCTTTTGTTTTGACTCCTCAGATAGTGTGTATTGGCCAATGTTTGTAGTCGCGACAGGAGCTGCAATCGTCGGGAGCCAAGCTACGATCTCCGGGACTTATTCGATAATCAAGCAGGCCGTAGCTCATGGGTGTTTTCCTCGAGTTAAAATTGTTCATACTTCCAAGAAGTTCCTTGGTCAGATCTATTGCCCTGATATTAATTGGATACTCATGCTCGGCTGCATTGCGGTTACTGCTAGTTTCAAGAATCAGAGCCAAATCGGAAATGCATATGGTAAGATGTAGAATGTTAATACAAGAATTATCATTTTCGTTAATATTATGTTAAATAACCGTTCTAAGTTAATAATCATATGAACCACCCGCTCTTACTGTTTATTGACTGTCTTGGTATGTTCGTGAATTAGGGACCGCGGTTGTTCTCGTGATGCTTGTGACCACATTGCTAATGGTGTTGATCATGCTGCTCGTGTGGCATTGCCACTGGATCCTTGTCCTTATATTCACCGTTCTCTCCCTCTTTGTGGAATTATCGTACTTCTCAGCCGTGATCTTTAAGATCGATCAAGGAGGATGGGTTCCGCTCATCATAGCAGCGATATCTCTTCTCGTAATGTCAGTATGGCATTATGCAACTGTCAAGAAATATGAGTTTGAAATGCACAGCAAAGTGTCCATGAGCTGGATACTAGGCCTCGGTCCCAGCCTCGGGCTTGTCCGTGTCCCTGGGGTCGGGTTAGTCTACACGGAATTAGCAAGTGGTGTCCCTCACATTTTCTCTCATTTCATCACCAACCTCCCCGCAATTCATTCGGTTGTAGTCTTTGTCTGCGTCAAGTACCTTCCGGTTTACACCGTCCCTGAAGAAGAGAGGTTTCTTGTGAAGAGAATCGGACCAAAAACATTCCGAATGTTCCGCTGCGTAGCCAGGTACTGTCCTTTCTTCTTCTCTGTACGTCCTTTAGTAGGGGTTTTTGATGGGCTAAACCGGCCAGGGGAGTATTGAGCCAGACCCTATTCGACCCCAAGTCTGCTTCCATCCATGATTTTAGGAGGGATACTAAGATGGGCTGATTAGCGGGTTTTTGGTCCAACATAACATTCATTTTCTTTATAGACACAGAGATTTTAGACTCTTGAAATCTCTCAAACTTTTTTTTACAGATATGGTTACAAAGATTTACACAAGAAAGACGATGATTTCGAGAACAAACTGCTGACTAACCTCTTCTCATTCATTCGAATCGAAACTATGATGGAGCCAGCTTCAAACTCAAGCATCTACAGCAGCACGTATTCCGTTAACCATACACAAGATTCCACCGTAGACTTGATCCACAACAACAACCACAATAGCAACAACAACAACATGGATATGTTCTCATCGATGGTGGACTACACGGTATCAACTTTAGACACGATAGTCCCTGCTGGTTCACCGCAAAACGGGGTGAGTTTCAGTCAGGACAACACGATAGAGGAGGAGGCAGATGAGTTGGAGTTTCTAAAGACTTGCAAAGAGTCAGGGGTTGTTCATATTATGGGAAACACTGTGGTGAAAGCAAGAAATGGATCATGGCTTCCAAAAAAGATTGCTATTGATTATGTTTATGCATTTCTTGCTAAGGTTTGTAGGGAGAATAGTGTTATCTTGCATGTTCCTCATGAAACCCTTTTAAACGTTGGACAAGTCTTTTATGTTTAGTTTCTTTTTTTTTTTTGTAAAACAATTACAGATAAAGGGGAATAAAGGGATACCAGATTTAAGATTATACCATTGAAAGTGTTACATGTATTTAGTAGTCCTGACGCAATCCAATCACGCCCAAGAAGCAATCTCAATTACCAATAGCTGTAGTCTGTAGATAGTAAAAGAGAAGTTACAGGAAAAAAGAATGTTAAGTTGTTTGTTCTGTCCACTTATGAGTCTTTTCGCATCACATTTTTTATTAATCAAAAAGTTATTATTACAACAGTTTAGTAATTACATTAAGAAGTGACATTATTTGCAAATATTATATCTGTAGTAGTTACTCTTACATCACCATATTGATATTTAAGACTTTAATCATAAATGTTTTCACTTGCTTTGATAACTCGCAAGATTCAAGTCAATATAGTCCGATTCAATTTACAACCAACCATAAGAAGAACTGAATATCTACTACAAAAAAAAAAAAAAAAAAAAAAAAAAAGAGTTTATTTCGGAAAGGTCAACATTATAATCAATTTTCAACTTTTTCCTACGCAAAAATTCAACTAAAGGACCGATGGAAACAAGTTCGCACAATTGCCATTTTTCCTAGTTGCACTGCATAGCAAATTATTGATTTTTTTAACGCTGAACTGAATACAATTACTTCGATACGGTTTCCTAAACCAGACGGTTTAAACTGGTAGTAATTAACCAATTAAGTCCCTAAAGCTCAACCGCACATTATACCGAAATTGAGAACGGAACCATACCAAATTTAAGAAATTATGTTTCCCTTAGAGGAAATTTGCTATAATTACGTCTACCAAGAATCCGAATATTCGTTCGATCTCCTAGGTTTTGGTTTAGTAACGATATTTTTGGTTAAGCCCCTAATCATTAGTCTCGCTAATCGACCAATATGAAGAATCTTATTCAAATACAACTTTACAGTCGTTCGTTAGAACGTGATTGTCAGAAATCAAAATCATTTACTTCTCTCGTCGTGCCTCTGATATTTTCTTTATAATTAGATAGGATAATAACAAATTTGTTCGAGTATTATACAGTTTTCTTTTGTAGGGTTTAATTATGCTCCTTTCGAGACACAAACAAAACTGAACCGGTAAAAGATATGAACCGGTTTGGACATGATATAACTCGGATATATTCAAAGGAAACTTCCCATGCGAGAGGAAAAAAATATCTTCACAAGTTACAATCACAATAATCGTTACAAATTTCTTCACAAGTTAAGTTATATAATTAAATAGAAAAATAACATTCAAAGAAAAATCAAGACTATTAAATGGGGATGAAATGAAGCTATATAACTTATATTATACATAAGAAGGAAAAAAGGATTCATAGCCAAAACCATGAAGAGCACGAACGGCGAATCTCCTTCATTGGGTTACGAGTCCGAGGGAGTTAGCATGAAGGACGGAAAATCTAAGCCGCCGGTGATATATTCCGATGGTTTGTTCGGAGGGAGAGACGTGATTACAATCGTGCTATTGGTCACGACCGTGACACTTTCTTGTCTACTATTCTACCAATCTGCAAATAATCCACTCAACATGGTGTTGTCTCCATGGAAGACCGATTGTTATGCTTCAACACTCATAAACGAGACTTCCTTAGAAATGGTGAGTATATTTCATATATATACTGATATACATATGTGTATAACGTATTTATTGGTAATTAAAATACATTCACGAAGGTTACTCATGGAGTTATTTTTGTCAGATTCCATTTCAGACTATATAATCTCTCCGAATCTATAATCTTCCATAACTAAAGAGAGAATATTTCCAGAAATAAAAAACCCTGATGATTATTGATCTCTAGTCTTGAACATGTCAAAGATTAAAATTACACTCTCCCGTCATGTTGATATGTTAATCACTCTTATATGTATCAATGTTTTAGGGAAAAAAGAAGGAGCCGGTTTCAGAATTGGAGAAAGTATTGATGAATGCAGCTATGGAGGATAACACGGTGATCATAACAGCGTTAAACCAAGCATGGGCCGAACCAAACTCAACTTTCGATGTGTTTCGAGAGAGTTTTAAAGCCGGAATAGAAACAGAGAGGCTGTTGAAGCATGTGATCGCCGTTTGCTTGGATATCAAGGCATATGATCAGTGCCTAAAGGTTCATCCTCATTGCTACTTGATCAACGCTACCGATTCAGACCAACTCTCTGGTCCGAATCGGTTTATGACGCCTGGTTACTTGAAACTTATTTGGCGGAGAATGGATATTCTTAGGCAAGTTATTGGTTTAGGGTACAACTTCATCTTCACGGTACATAATATCTCAATCTCCTTCTCTTTTTATTTTATTCGTAATTAATTAGTATATGTTTTCTTCATAACTTTTTTCTTCAAAGTTGCAACTACTGACTTCTATACGTTGAAGTAGAAAAGATTACGCGCCATCCCTAAGCTGTTCAACCCTTTTTTTTTTTAACTATATAATATAAACAACAACAAAATTGTTGATAATATCGTAAGACAAATTATTTAGTAGTAGCTACAAAATCTTAGTATTTGATATAGGCATATCGAAAATCTAGAATTACAATGTTTTGTGGCATGTATAAATTTTGAAGCTTTAAAATAATATATAAAATTTGATAGAACATAAAAATGAAATGTTAATTTATGAAATATTATCTATATGTCAAGTTGCCAACTATAGAGAACACCGTTTAATTGTGCATATGAGATGTTTTAAATATTGTCCTTTTGTTAGATCTTACACTTTTCCTTGAGCGTTTAGATATGACTTATCGTGTTTCTTTGTTTTCTTTTTAGCATACCTCTGACTTCCAATTTTACGTTTAATTTTCCTTGATTTATATTTATAATGTGTGGCTGGCTATAGATGTTTAATTGTCAACTATATAGAGGTTGCGTAATTAACAAAACGTGTTCTTTGACAAAAAAAATAAAATAAATAAATGTTATATACCGTGATTGTCATAACACTACAGATTGATTTGTATACGACCAAAATGTTTTTTGACGTCATCATCACAACTTTTAAAAGTTCCAAATTTGTATTAGTTCTTTATATTTTTTTTTTGAAACTTCAAATTTGCAATAGTTACAGTTATTTTCTACCGATATATGCATATCTTCGATCTGGTGACTTAATTTGTATACTCTGATTGTGCACTATCTATAAACTATATGTAAATAAATGATAATTTTGCTGTAAATAGGATGCAGATATATTATGGCTTCGAGACCCATTTCCCCGTTTTTTCCCGGATGCTGATTTTCAAATAACATGCGATGATTACAATGGAAAACCATCAGACAAAAAGAACCACGTGAACTCTGGATTTACATACGTCAAGGCAAACAACAAAACTTCAAAATTTTACAAATATTGGATTAGGTCGAGTCGGAAATTTCCTGGAAAACACGATCAAGATGTGTTCAACTTCATAAAAAACGATCATCACGTCGAGAAACTTGGGATAAAGATGAGGTTTTTCGACACGGTTTACTTTGGAGGGTTTTGCCAGCCGAGCCGAGACATCAATGTGGTCAACACAATGCATGCTAATTGTTGTATTGGCTTGGACAACAAAGTGAATAATCTTAAGGCAGCTCTCGAGGATTGGAAACGATATGTGTCACTAAACACGACCGTGTCCGAGACTAAATGGAATATTCCGCCTAGGTGTGGTTATTAAAGGTTGTAAGAGTAGATATATGAAATTAGTTCGTACGTTAAGGTAGTTTCGTTAACTATTGGAGTCGGTTGTTGATTCTTAATTATATTTAGTGTTAAGATAGTACGTTTTTGTTATTTGAGAGTATTAAAGATTTTAACTTATCATAAATTTTCTTATAAGAAATTCTAAAGGCAAACCTCCAATCTAATTTATATTTACTTTAAAATAGTGGGGATGCGGGATTATGTAGGTAGTAGATCCGAATGTTTAAAAATCTTGCAATTACAACATATTTTGTTATTGTTTGATAAATTTAATATTTCTATTCTTGTATTTTATATAATTCAAGTAGTTTTTTTTTTCCTTTTTAATAGATGAATTCAAATAGTTAATATGGAATAAAATTAAGGGAAATTGTTAAAAATACCCCTTTTGGTGTGCCCCTTTTCAAAAATGCCCTTTTTATATGTCCATTTAAAAAAATGCCCCTTTTTAAATCTGAAATTTTTATAAAGTTTTATTAGGTTTATAAGGTACTTATGGATTGTAACTACTACTTGAAGACTCGATCCAAGTATTTATAAGGTTTTATAAGGTGTTTTCAAAGGTTTTACAAGTTATTTTAAAGGATTTTTAAGGTTTTTCAAAGGTTTTACAAGATATTTTAAAGGTTTTAAAAGGTATTTAAAATGCATTTATAAGATATTTATAAAGTATTTATAAGATTTTAGATACATAGAAATGTAGTTTGTGTATGTTTTAATAATATTACATACATATTTGGGTAAGTCTTATATTTTTAAGAACATTTTTTATAAGATTTTTAAAAAAGGATATTTTTGAAAAATGGCATTGAAAAAGTGGCATTTTTGCCAAAACCCCTAAAATTAAAATGGTGACGCAAGAACATATATAATTAGATTAAAGATTTTGACTATAAAAAAAAATCATAGCTACAGATATTTTCATATGTCATTAATGAGAACGTCAATTCTAATTGACACTATAATAGTAAAATTTTATCAAAAAAACAAGAATACAAATACTCCATTTGACACAAATCATAAGAAATAATGCAAAAGACAATTATTATATACTAGATGAATATCTACGCTACGCGTGGGTTTGTTTTGAAAATTGTGAAGAAAAAATTATTGATTGTTCTTGCTAATTTATGTTTATTTTTTATTTGTTATTATGTAGTTAATAAAACTACTATCTTATGTAGTTACAATTTTTAAGATTAGATCTATTTTCTGATTTGAAATATAACCCAGAAAAAATACTTACTTATCAGCTGAAACCTCTTGCTTGTTCCCGTAATATCTTTCATCGTCCTCATGGCTCTGCTAGTTGGTCAGAAGGTACTTTATCAGCTTTATCAATATCTATTATAGGTACATAATTTTTTTATCCTTTTTGAATGAGATTCATTGAACTCTCTCATTTATATTTTCAAGGGATACAAAATTTCTAGCTGCAGAATACAGACCTAAAGCAGGAACGAAGAAGAACGAAAATGCTGAGAAGGCTTGTTTTGAAGTCATATGGAAGCCTTAAGCCGGATAGATTGGTAATCGTAAATGCGTTTCGTTGTTCAGAAGAAGGCTTGTTTTGTTGCTTGAGTATGTCGTACAGGTGATTCTTGTTTTTAGATCTGAATTACTTTTGCTTTGAATATTGATAGGAAAAGTTGAAAGGGAGTATAAAACGATACTCAAAAGGACGTTACAGAGTATTTGTGTTTTGACAGTTGTTCCAAATACCACCACCTCAGTGATAATTCAGGTGAGTAGCTATTCAATGTTGTGTATATCGATATTGTCAACTTGAGTTGTATCTGATGTTTTCATTTTGTAATTCCCGTGTAGGTTGTACATGATGGTGGTTCTGTATCGTTTTTATGTTCCTTGCACCTTTGTAAATATTTATTGATGCTGTCTGAAACACATATAATCTGGTATAAACAATGTCTGTTTGAGTATTTATAGAGTTTATAGTAGTGAAAGTTTGTAATCCCGTAAGCTGAGAGTGTGAATATGTTTTTGTGTAACTTCTATCGTGGCCTCTATTCTGGCAGTTAGAAGGTAGAAAACGTTTGTTCTAAAGAAATATGATGTACAGAAAGGGAGACTATGAAGAATGGAACTTACGAAGTCGAGAAATTTGCCTTGAGATTCTTCTTCTTTCATATTGAACGATCGAGCAGAGAGTGAGAGAGATTTATTTTGTTAAAATCTTGTAGGGAATTAGAATATTTGTTGGGTTTAAAAGCATTAAGCCATCACTGAAATGGGCTCGACCCATTAATATTGCACTCTAATAGATTCTAAAACACATATGGCCCATCCGTCATGGGCTATTTGTTTACTCCATTTGACACTTATAATTAGAAGCTGATGTGTATTAATGAAATATTTTTATTGAACGAATAAAAAGCTGATGTGTCATCTTCAGAAGAGCCAAAAATGCTGACGTGGCGGAAGGATGGAGAGAAATAGCCTCCTTTCATATATAGGATTTTTATAATTATTAATTGTGTGGGCAAAAACCTATAGTTTGATCTCGTTTGTTCATTGTTATAGCGTTCCCAAACGTATGGCGAAACGTCCTTATTGTAATCTGTAAGGATCGGAGGCCCGATTTTGAAATAGCTGTAAGTTTGTAGGGATACTTCCCATTATCAAAAAATAAAAAGATTGTCACGGTTTTGGTTTTACTACGCAATTAATTATCGTAAATCTATAAATATTTTAAATGATAAGATTCTTACTTTCTTCACATATCTAAAAACTACTTCGCGATTTGTGGCATGGATCATTGGATCCTCTTTAATATTTACATTTAAAAAAAAAGTGGTGAAATGTTCAAATTAGTTAAATCGTTGTTACAAAACCAAGTTGTTGAAATGTGTCGAACAAGGTACGGTCTTAGTCTTTGATCCGCTGGCGGGAAATCATATAGAAGACAACTGTACAACTACAAACCCTTGGCCCTTTTATTAAATTATCATTCAATTCGTATATTAATATAACATAATTGAGAAAGAATTTTTTTTTCCTAATAGCATATGTTGTAGATTACAGACTACAGTGTTGATAAATAATAAGGTGAAAGCTACAGTGCAACCAAAAAAAAAGAAACTAGTAAAGGACAACAAACTCTTAACCAATAAAATTTGATCTCTGTAGAGTTTTATAAGAACTTATTTGAAACAGTTTTAAAAACAGAAAATACTTTCTTTGTTTTTCTTCCGCACTTTCTTCGTTTTTAATACGTTTTTCAAACTATAATTTTAATTTTATGTTTAACAAAAAAATTATAATTTTATCATTTGTTTATACTAAATATATTCTTAATATATATAGATTATATCAAAAATGAATGTTAATGTTTTACTTCAAAAAAGCTAATTTTAATTCGTAATCATGTTGATATATAAAAGAATAGTAACTCGGAAGTAATCCAAGTTCCAACCATGAAATAAAAAAAAAAAGGTATATATCCAACAAAAAATGATTAACTACACATCATCAACGATTTATCGTTCTAAGACATGACTTTGAGTTGGAGTTATAAAATGCCTAAATACCACGATCTAAACCCATGTAGTAGTAAATCTAAAACCACTTGATGAAGAGTTTCAGTCAATTATATACAATATCATAAATGAAAAGCTCAGACCTTACTTTCTGATAAAAATGAAAAAGCAAATCGTACACAGTTTTATTTAGACTAGTCTATTCTTTTTTGGTAAACGGTATTCGAGTTAGACTATCCTTATGTTTTTTTATTTCCTTAAAGACTAGCCTTATCAGTAATTGATACTCCTTTTTAGTAATAATTTTCTAACAATTCTTATCACTAATTGATATTCATTTCTTTTTGTTTGGTAGACAAATTAATATAGTTGATTGGAGAAGCATTTAGAATTCGACGCTTCCTCCTAGTCTAGTGATAAATTAAAATTTTAACGGCAGCCACGACTAGTAACGTTAGCGTGTTTCAAAAAGACTAAAACGCCACGTGTAGTCACTATAATGGAAAAATTAAACAATTATAATTGTCATTGAATTAAGATAAATAAAATATTGGGTGAATGCTGAGATAAAACTACTGTTTCCCAAAGTATATACTATTATGCATTCGAAAAAAATTGGGCACAATTAAACTATCAATGATACAATTTTCTGAAAAGTGACTTATTTTTTCTCTAATCTTTTGGACGAGATTAGTCTGTTCCAAGTTATGGATATGATTATATTTTGATACCTATGTATTAGTAATATATGGTGGATTCGCTAGATAATTTTTCCTAATTAAGCTATTATACATAATGTTATTAAAAAAAAGTTATGGTTGTATTTTTATTTGTTTACAAAACTTAATTCTTCTTTTGTAAACAAATAAAAATACAACCATAACTTTTTTTTTGTTATGTCGGTCTCTCATCCACCAAAACATGTTTCTTCTCTCGGGTCATTCATGTTTCTCTTTGTCTTTTTCTGCACTTTTTTTTCCATCATCTGACTAGTAGTATTCACAATTTAAAACTCTTACATGATTCTATCATTTGGGTAGATATTTATGAACCAGTTGAATATATAATTTGGAGTTGGTGTGTTGTCTTTATTCTCTACACTCTAATAAAAACAAGAATTGATTTCAGATGGAAAAAGACTTGGTAAAAGAATTCATTCATAAAAAACCATTGCTACGAATAAAATATATAATCTGACAAAATAAGAACAACGCCCTTACAAAACTGCCAGTGATGACGTTTGCCTTGAACTTTTGTACTTGGTTATAAGAACCGACAAAAAAAAGACAGAGAGAAGAACGAAGAAAACGAAAGAAAGGCTTTAAACCCCTCAAGAACACATGAACTCTTCTTCTTCTTCTTCCCCTTCAAGTTTTCTTGATTTGGGATCTGCGAACGGACAAAATGAAGTAAAGAGAATCCTGGTTTTGTTTCTAGGTGTAGCTGCTTGTCTTCTTCTTTACAAAACAGCTTATCCTCTTAGTCAAGAGCTCGATGTTGACAATCTCAGCTCTTCTCGTCCTTTGCTCGATCACACCTCTTCGTCTTCTCCACAAACAGTGAGTTATTAATTACCACTTTACATAGATATGTACTTGTATATGCCTCAATCCATGTTCTGTCTGAAATGGGTTTGATCTCTTTCTTAAGATTTTATTGTTTCTTTCAGAGATCAAAATCGATCAGTTTTAGGGAAGTTCTGGAGAATGCGTCTACAGATAATCGAACAGTTATTGTAACAACATTGAACCAAGCATGGGCAGAGCCAAACTCTCTGTTTGATCTATTTCTTGAGAGTTTTCGTATCGGCCAAGGAACACAGAAGCTACTTCAACATGTGGTTGTGGTTTGCTTGGATTCCAAGGCATTTGATCGCTGTTCACAACTTCACCCTAATTGCTACTATTTGGAAACTAAAGGGACTGACTTCTCCGGCGAGAAACTCTTTGCTACTCCTGATTACCTCAAAATGATGTGGCGAAGAATCGAGCTTCTTACACAAGTGCTAGAAATGGGATATAACTTCATCTTCACGGTATTATCTTTTTTTTTTTTTTCACGGTATTATCTTCATCATCCATCTCAAATTTCCTTCCTTTTTACAAATCTTTTGAATCAATTTTTGATCAAGTAATTAATCTAGAAGTGATACCTAGAAGATGATTACATTTGCATTAGCACGTGACTCTGTAACAAAAAATTTATATAAACTATTGTCTAAATTTAATAAATTGAACAAAGCCCTGTTACACTTTATTTTAAAAATTATGTGTCAACTAAATGCTATTTTTAATTTTAAAATATTAATTACATAACGATGTTATTTATAATTATTTCCCATTTATATATTTAGGATGCAGATATAATGTGGCTCCGAGATCCATTTCCTCGGCTATACCCTGATGGAGATTTTCAAATGGCATGTGATCGATTCTTCGGTGATCCTAATGACTCAGACAATTGGGTAAACGGAGGATTCACTTACGTGAAATCAAACCATAGAAGCATTGAGTTCTACAAATTTTGGTACAAATCTCGTCTTAATTATCCGAAGATGCATGACCAAGATGTGTTCAACCAAATCAAACACGGGGCTTTAGTCTCAGAGATTGGAATCCAAATGAGATTCTTTGATACGGTTTACTTTGGTGGGTTTTGTCAAACGAGCAGAGACATTAACTTGGTGTGTACCATGCATGCTAATTGTTGTATAGGATTAGAGAAGAAGCTTCATGATCTTAATCTTGTTCTTGATGACTGGAGAAACTATTTGTCTTTATCTGAACCAGTTAAGAACACAACTTGGAGTGTTCCTATGAAGTGTACGTGATTTGAAAGACTCATATTTGGAATGAAAACATTGGTATGGAGGAGATTTGTTTTCTAGTAATAAAACTGTGAAGATGGATCTTTATGTTGTATTGTTGTTAAGAAACAATCTTCTTAGTTGAACACTTGGTCCGCATATAATTTTTTTGGGTCACACATATACATTTAGCCTCCTTACTAACATTGAAATTCGAATTGGTAACCTTGAGGCTCACTCATTTCAAAAAGTTTATGAGATTCGAAATCAGGAGTTATGCATAAGTTATCGACTTACATATATTCTTTCAAAAAGTTATCAATATGTAACACTTAACTCAAACTCGGATCAATGAAAATTGTTACTTGTAATATAAAGAAGAGAATTGAAATCTTTATAACACGTAAATTTTATGGACCCAAGTAACAATTTTTATTGAAAGAAACTTATAGCAACTTAGCAAGATTGTCTTATAGAAGATCTCCAAACTTATTGCCACATGGTTGTCTTTTTTTGGAGATCTTCTTTACATGTTCGACTTAATTTTGGACTATCATCGATTTAGTTATATGAAAACATTCACCAATTCAATCTTTACGCTATCTTATAGACAATTCAATCTGATTTTTATCACTAATTTCCGCAGGAATAAAAAAAAAAGAGAAGGATCTTGACCTCTGCAAAGAAATATCTCTTACCTTGTTTTTTTTCAAAGCCAAGTCAGAGCTATCACTTTCACATAAAGTCATATAGAGGCCTAAAATGGGATCCATATGTACGTTCGGCCCAATAAGTTTTCACCCATTTTGTATAATATCCTTTAAAATTTTAATTAGATGGTAACAAGCCAGAAATCAGAATACCAGTATTTGACTTTTCAAAAACAAATATTCCTTAATTAAGAGGAAACTCTTCCACTGGCTATATTGAAACCATCAAACAAACATGTTGAGAGCGTTTTTTTGAAGCTTTTTTGGCAGGTGTAACGAAGGAAATTGGTGAATAAGAAGCATTGTGTTATATGGCTAGTGTTTCCGGTAATCATTTGATGTAGAGCTTGTATTAAGCGAATGAAAAAGCTGTTTAGTTATTAATCAGTCAGCATGGTTCGTACTTTGTCTCAAAATGAATTAAAACATTAAAAATGTTAGTGATACCTAGGGCTGGGCATTCGGGTATGCGGGTCGGGTTCGGGTAAAACCCGATCGGGTACGGATCTTTCGGGTAGAGGAGTTTAGGACCCAATAGGGTAAATCTAAAATATCGGTTCGGTTTCGGTTCGGATCTAATCGGGTTCGGGTCGGTTCGGGTTTAGATTTTTAGAACCGCTAAATACCCAAAAAAATCGGGTACCCATCGGGTTCGGGTATTTTATACCCAAATACCCAAAATTTTACCAAATACCCGAATTTTATCCGAAATTTTATCCTAATATCCGAATTTTATCCGCAATTTTACTCTAATATCCGAGTTTCACCCAAAAATTTATCCGAATAACCGGAATTTTTTCCAAATATTTAAAAAATTTACAAGCATCTCGCGTATAAATATATTTTGTCTTAAATATTTAAATATAAGTGCATTTAATTTTTGATAACTATTCTCGGATATTTAGATATAAATGTATTTAGCTCAAATATTACATATATAAAAAGTTTTATATGTATAAGTATATGTAATTTCGGGTAATCGGGTACCCGTTCGGATATCGGGTTCGGATCGGGTTTTACCCTATACCCACGGGTACGGCAATACAAGACCCAATAGGGTAAATAGCTAATACCCGTACCCGCCCCAAACCGGTTTTTTCGGGTCGGTTTCGGTTCGGGTACTCGGGTACGGTTTTTTTGCCCAGGCCTAGTGATACCCATTTGTTTTCTTTGAAGTTTCTCTCCCAGTGTCGAGTGGCTCGCAATTTTATGCGATGTAACATGCGAATATCGTTACCGTCTAATTAAAAACTTATGTCAAGTAGTCAAAAAAAAAGAAACCCTAGAAGTAGAAGACTACGAAAATAGGGTTCGGCGAATATGTCTCGAGTTGCTAACAAACATGCATCGCCTTCCACTATGGCTTACACGGATTCCCATTTTTATGTATTTTTCTATACAAGCTTTAAGTTTTGATTTTATTTTCTAATTGTTATATTTGGTAAAGTTTAATCACCAAAAGGTCATGTTTATCATCTATGTATTTAGAGAACTATGAACACGTAGGTCCGAAAACAATTTTTTTTTGTTCTGGGTTAATTAGTAAAGTTGTAGAATAAAAAAACAAACAAAAAAGTTGTAGGAGAATATTGATAAATCAATTTTAGTAAATTGATAAAATTAATTAATTGATTTACCAAAAAAAAAAAAAAAACAGAGGAAAGATTTGGTCCATCCAACGGCTGGTCAAATTAAAAAACATTCTACACTAAATTCAGGATACAAGTTTCAGAGAAATAGTATTTCATCTTTTATAAAATTAAAATTTCTAAAGCTTCAGATTGAAAGTGTGACAAATCAAAATCGTATGCGTATTATTGGACAGAATTATACTATGTATTTTAAACTAAAATTGATATTGTCGTTTTTAAAATCAACAAGGGCACAAAAACATATAAAATTTGTTTTTGGACGAAATGCAATGTGCATATCAGCATATCTAAGGAAAGGATTCTGAGTGAATTGAGATGGATATTTCTGAGAGATCATCGAGGGAAGGTACTGTGGATGGGAGCTAAAGTGATTCCTGAACCATGAACGGTGATTGAAACAAAAGTTGAGAAATAATCAATTTTATACCCCAGGCAACGTTCGTCGTCTTTATTTTTGGCTACAAGCCTACAAGTTTCAGTTCATTATACTGAAATTAATAATTAATCTTTCAAATCTATGTTCCGTTATATTAAAGGAACAACAAAAAATTTCTCAAAACTGAACATATATTTTTTTTAAGTAACAATTACCTTTCATTTAATAATTTTAAATCTAAAGTAAAATGACAAATTACATTACACGAATTCATGCGAAGCGGAAGAGAAGGATTCACGAGGAAGTGGTGGTCTCTTCTTGATAGTATTAGTAGTAACGTATCTCGAAGAAAACGCATAAAGCCGCAGGTAATAATCCTCATCATCGGGAAGTGTACCACACGCGCCTCCGTCGAAGTTAAGTGAATAGCTCAGTGGATCGTAACGGCACTGGAACGAGCTTCCTTGTCTCCGAGCCGACGTAGCCAGCAACAACCTCCCTTTTCTCTTCAGTTTTCTGATGAGTCTCACAAGGCACGTGACGCAGCAGTTTGGCGATGTAGTTGGGACATCGGACTTCTTTGTCATTGCGGTTGCGGTGGCTGTCTTGGCGTCGCGTATATGCCGGGAAAATGTCATTTAGGTGACTTTGTCGGACAGAGAAGAGAGAGAGTGTGTGTTGTTGAGTGTTATGATGAAGAGAGAATCTAACTGATAATCTGACAAGAGTATGTAATGTATGTCTATATTTATAAGTATATATGTTTATACTTTATACAATCTACAATTTCATAGATTCTTTTTTAGTTTCACTTCGAGATTCCTCGATCATAACGAAAATATTGTACAAAATTATATAGTAAAGTTTCTCTGTCGATTTTTTTTCCAGTTGTATTTTAAATATGGTAGATGTGTACTTTAATTTGTAGGTAGGTCCTAGCCAATAGCCACATCTTATAAACTTTTTTTTTTCTTCGTTTCATATTCTGCTTTTTTTAGATCCATTATCTTAAGATTTTTAAAGGTTAACTTAGCTTTTCTTTTTTTTTTTTTTTTTTTTACTTAGCTTTTCTTAGTTCTTTTTTTTTTGTTAAAGGGTTTTCTTGAATAATAAAAAAGTTTACATAGAAGCTTAGATGACCACTCATCTATTACAATACAGAAAGAGAAGGATGGCTAGCTTATAAAGCTAGAATGAGAATGAGAAGAGTAAATCAAAGGTGAGGAAGAAGTAGAAGAGATAAGAGAAAAGTTTATATAGTTGTTACACTTCGATAGCTCGAACTATAGTTAATAATTTCATCTATAATTTCAACCGTAACAAATATGAAAAGTAACAACTACTATATATTATTTGGCAGTCGATATATATATCTTTAACCAAGTAGATATAGTCCAATGTTTTCTCTATATTGATAAAAAAAAAATTAGATGTCGACTTCCACTGGATTTATTTGTTGATAATGTAGTATATTGAATTGACGACTAAGAACCCACTATCCTAGCCTAATTAAACATTATCCAAAAACCTATTACACAAACGGTAACATGTATTTACAAATTACAAGAGTTATGATTTGTCATTGAAATTATTCTTTATGTATTTGTATGGAATAGTCAATAAATTATGGTAGGTACACAGTGCACATGGCTAGGAATCAAACACATGAAGCTGAGTCAAGACTTCGTCTTCTTTACCATCTTTTCCATTCTCATAATCTCCCCTTTGATCTATTTATTTTATTTATTTCAGTAGCATTGGCCCATTGTTTTTGATGGTTGGTTTATTTATCAATTAAGTTTAGTCGCCGTAACACATATCTTATATATCTTGTGTTTGTGCGGGCACAAATCACAAATGGATATTTAAGGTTTAACGGAAAAGAAAAAAAGTAAGTAACCGGCCCATGTGATATATGCGTGCACAATAAGCTAATTGCATAGAATATACGCCCGTTAGTGTCTAAACTAAGAGATATATATAGCCCATTATATATATTTTTAAGAGGATGATCGATCTTAACCAAGTTCATACAACTCTTTGGAATCTGAAAAACAAATTACCAATATTTACTATTTTAAATGTTTATAATGGTTAACTATATTCTTAAAAGCAAAAAAACGTACTGTAAATATATACATAGCTAACCACATCTAGCATGTATTATTTAAGTACATATACTCATAAAGCATACAAGTATCCACACAATATTTTGAAATATAAATATGAGATGTTTGGACCAAAAGGAAGGAAAATAAAGTAAATATAAACTATAGTCTTCATGAATCCTCCTCATCTAGTCACCATTGACCAAAAGTATATATACATAATTACATATAGCCTTCGTGTGTAAAGCACGTGATCAGCAGTTTTATATACATCATTTGAACCATCAAACTTGTAAAAATAAGAAATTAGTATCTCAAGAGAAGTCATTATAAGATATTATATACTGTATTCTTGTTTTTTTTTGGTAAACATTATATAATGTATTCTTCTAATCGAGGACAACTAACATGGGATTAAGTAGCTTTGCCTTACATGGAAAGAGATAAGAAGAATAAAAGAGAGTAAACCACCAGACATCAAATCCAAATGCAAGAAAGACTCTGAATCTTTGGCCTTTCTCGTTGGTCATCATTTAGAGATCAATATAACTTGCTTTGACCTGCAGTTTCTGAAGGTCTATCAGCGTTCTCGCTTCGGTTTTATGCCTCCAAGCTCTTTGTGAACATCATTGTTGTGGAACCCATCCTGTCATCTCCAAACCCACAGGCTTTGAAGAATGGCCTAACAAAAAATGTTTGTTTATCATCAGTACAAATGCATAAGGATTCTGCATTCACTAATATCAATCCCACACATAGTTAAGATATCATTAGTAAGCTACTATCACCAAATCCTTGGTCAGAACAGAACACATTACTATATCCTTCGATCCTAAACCAAGCGTGAAAGGATACACAACAAAGAAATGACAAGCTGTTAAGGATGTGTATTAGTTATTTCAGAGGCAAAGGCGGTACCTTTCATCCTCAAAGCAGAGAGCTGCTATGTCGTAGATGTCTCTGCTTGTGAGAAGCCTATTGAAACAGTTTTCGATGAATGAAGCAATTTGATATTTCACGAGCTAACCTTTAAGAGAAGGTTAATTGTTTTAAGTAACGCGAAATCATAGTGGAAAATACCATCAAACCTGACAATTCTGTTAACTATCAGTTTACCGATTCCCATCCGTTGTAGTGAAGGTAAAACCTGGAAAACACTGAGACCAAATTACACATCTTAGCATCAAACAGAAGGTATTACTAGAGCTAACGTGGACCGGGTAATGAAAGCAAATTCCACTAAATAACCTGTTAAACTTGGTGCTACAAATAAAAGTACCATTAGATCATGGATAGAAGCAGTCAAGCCATAATCAGAATAAGCACGACCGAATCCAACAAGCTGTCCATTGGAAGGAGTTAGAGGCAACACATTCTGAAACAAGTCTCCCAGAGAACTCTCATCCTTATTCTGTCTCCCAAATTCTGAATGATACAAAGAAGAAGACAAATTCTCTTCTGAATACAAAACCGCATCATCAACATCCGCGTGACGAGGTTTGCAAAACACAGAGACAACAACATCACTACGGGAGATAGCTACACGCAGCTTTTTCATGTCAACAATCTTTTCAACGTTGCTGCCATACTCAGACAAACGGTTGCTAGAATGGTTACAAAGTGAATACAAATTCCTCAATTCCTCAAGATTTATGTCTTTCTTCAACGTAGAGATATATATAGGTATAGACCAAGGCAATGCCGATGCAGCATTATCAGATTTTCTTCTTCTTGCCCACCTCAGTTCCATTGATACAAGAGAAGAATTACCAACACAAACCGCCAAAACCATTTCTTTAAGCAATCTTGATCACACAATAATGCACCATCTAATCAATAAAACAGTACATGAAAATCAAATCTCACAGTAGCAATTACCAAACCTAACTGAAGAATCTATCTAAGAGTTGTGTGTAGAAGAAACTATAGACTAGACTAAAATTCACATTCTACTAAAGTTTCAATATTTTGGTTTAAGATGTGCAAAAGATAGCAAATTTCTTAGAAACGAGCTCAATCAACATTACAAGACTCGAATTTTCCTGAGAAAACTAACTACCAGAAGCTTACATCTCTATGAATTATCTGATTTTTTTTATGATAATATACAAAACCTGAGGAAACTTCTGTCAAATTTCTCGGTGAAAATCAACCACTTTTGCTTCTAATTTCCGATTTTTCCATCAGCAGAGAGATGAAGAAGAAGAAGACCAAAAAAAATGTGTGGCTCAAGATTTTTTCTTGTGCAAGAAAATAATCCGGTTATCGAAAATAAGAACAGGTTAAGTAAACGATAACCGGAGGAAGAGGTGAGAGAAGAAGAAACCAACATAACCGCGAGTATAAAAAAAGCGAGTACGACGGCGACGAAGAAGACTCTTTGCCCTGAGATCTGTATCTGTACTCGCTTCCGATCATCACTCTTCCCAGTCTTCTTCATCATGTAATATATATCTTTCTTCTTTGGCCCTCCAAATTATATCATCTTTGCACTTTAGTCAATTAGTTTCTGATTTTGTCTATTTCGTACCGTAACTAGTCAAATCGGTTATCATTTTGAGTTGCTTAAATGTCTCGTTTCTGGGTTTTTGCTTTGGATCATAAGTTTGATTCTTTTGAAGTGTTGATGATTCGAGTTGACTTTGTGGGTTTTGAATGGTTGACTTTTCATTTTAAGATGATTCATTTCTGTATTTGAACATGTTTTGCTTACATTTTGAGGTTTTAGGATTCTGATGTTACTGGTTCTAAGTTTCAATTGCTCCATTGATATTATTAGAACGTCTTTTTTTTTTTTGATGTTAAAGTTTGCAACTTGGAAGCTGACCGTGGTTGTTTCAACAGGTATAAGTTGATCAAGGTTTTGAGGGGTGAAGAGTTTAACTAATTGGGGATTGATCTCGAAATGCCGTCAGGAGAGTGTAGTAATGTGCACTTGGATGATGATAGGATTAGCTTAGAGATTGATGAAGGTAGAGAATTTGAATCGAAAGAGGAGGCTTTTGAGTTCTACAAAGAATATGCTAAATCTGTTGGGTTTACTACCATTATTAAAGCTAGTCGTCGTTCAAGAATGACCGGGAAATTTATCGATGCTAAGTTTGTTTGTACGCGTTATGGAAGCAAGAAAACAGAGAAAGAAGATATAGGTACTGGTTTAGGTACAGATGGGTTTAACTTTCCTCAAGCAAGAAAACGCGGTAGAATAAACCGGTCATCATCGAAAACTGATTGTAAAGCATGTTTACATGTTAAGAGAAGGCAAGATGGGCGGTGGGTTATTCGTGGTTTGATTAAAGAACATAACCATGAAATCTTCGCTGGTCAAGCCAACTCTTTAAGAGACTTGGGTGGGCGGAGAAAACTTGAGAAACTAAACGGTGCTATTGTGAAAGAGGTGAAAAGCAGGAAGCTACTTGCTTTAGAGGATGAGGATGTTGAAAGACTCCTAAACTTCTTTACGGATATGCAAATTGAGAATCCTTTCTTCTTTTACGCCATTGATCTCAGTGAGGAGCAGAGTCTAAGGAACGTCTTTTGGGTTGATGCAAAAGGTAGATTGGATTATACTTGTTTCTGTGATGTTGTATCTTTTGACACTACATTCATCAAGAATGAGTATAAAATGCCTCTTGTCGCTTTTACTGGCGTGAACCACCATGGACAGTTCCTGTTACTTGGTTGTGGATTGATATCAACTGGTGAGTCTAAATATGGATTTGTTTGGCTTTTTCGGGCATGGTTAAACGCGATGCATGGATGCCAACCCAGAGTCATACTTACCAAACACGACCGAACGCTCAAAGAAGCTGTCTTGGAGGTGTTCCCATCTTCTAGACATTGTTTTTATATGTGGGATACTCTTGGTCAGATGCCGGAAAAGCTTGGTCATGTTAGGAGACAAGAGAAAAACTTTATGGATGAGATGAATGATGCTATTTACGGGTCTTGCAAGAGCGGGGACTTTGAAAAGAATTGGTGGGAGGTAGTTGATAGGTTTCATATGAGAGACAACGCATGGCTTCAGTCATTGTATGAAGATAGGGAATATTGGATTCCTGTATATATGAAAGATGTATCTCTAGCCGGATTGTGTACAGCTCAGAGGTCAGATAGCGTCAACTCTGTTTTCGATAAATACATTCAAAGGAAAACTACATTAAAAGCATTTCTTGATCAGTACAAGAAGATGATACAAGAGAGGTACGAAGAGGAAGAGAAAGCGGAGATTGAGACATTGTATAAACAACCCGGGCTTAAGTCACCTTCACCATTTGGGAAGCAAATGGCTGAGGTATACACTCGTGAGATGTTCAAGAGGTTTCAGGTGGAGGTGTTGGGAGGAGTTGCTTGCCATCCGAAGAAAGAAAGCGAAGAAGATGGGGTCAACAAGAGGACTTTCAGGGTTCAAGATTATGAACAGAACCGTGCTTTCGTTGTGGTGTGGAACTCTGAATCATCTGAAGTTGTCTGTTCTTGTCGACTGTTTGAGTTCAAAGGTTTTCTTTGTAGGCACGCGATGATTGTTCTGCAGATGTCTGGGGAACTTAGTATTCCTTCTCAGTATGTGTTGAAGCGTTGGACAAAGGATGCGAAAAGCAGAGAAGCCATGGAATCTGATCAGATTGATGTAGAATCAACTAAGGCTCAACGATACACGGATCTTTGTCTCTGTTCTTTGAAATTGAGTGAGGAAGCATCTTTGTCCGAGGAGAGCTATAACGCCATGATTAATGTGCTGAATGAAGCTTTAAGAAAGTGGGAGAACAGGAGTAACTTGATCCAAAATGTTGAAGAGTCAGAATCGGTTACAGCTCAAGATCTTCCGATACATGAAGAACAGAACAACACATATGAGATGAACAAAGACGATAATGTCGCTGACACCGGACAGGTTTTGTTTTCTTCTCAGCTGGTTTCGTGGAACAGGACTATTAATCTCCTGATTTTGTCCTTAAGGCCTGTATTTGGTCTAACCTGGCTTTCTATTTGTCAAGGAATATTCATTGCAAGAAGTCTGGAAAGTAACTGCTTTGCAAGAACAAAGTAACCGATACTCGATTCTCGATGAGTACCTCAGTGCCCAACATATGTCTCATGAAATGGTATACGAGAATAGTCCTAGACCTTAACACTTTTACAGTATAAGAAGGTTCAATTTTCAAACTTAGTTCCTCTGTGTGATCCACAGGGACATATCAACTCAATGGCCTCAAATCGCAATGGATATTGTACTGCCCATCAAAACATACACTCGCTGGTAAGTGTGTGACCGAGATTTCTTTATTGTTTGGAAATAGAGTTTCCGAAATATATTACTGATTTTCTCATTGCAGGGGCAGTCCATAACTCAGCAAAGGCTCTATGGAGATGTAAGTTGTTCTCTGAATGAGTCAGCATGACCCGATTTTGATCTCATATATGAATTATAGCAGGTTTGATTGAAGTTTATGTTTAAAAATAATGGCAGGAACAATCAAGTTTCAGACCAGAAGCTGTGTATGAAAGACTTCAGGACATGGTAAAAGACTTGAACTAGAATTTGAAATCTAACTCAAAATTTCAGGTATTTCTCTATTTACAAAGGAGTGAAAAGGGTTAGTGTTTATTCATGAATATTGTTAGGGACAATCAAATGTTAGACATCATCCTCAGCAACATTGCAATGCTTCAAAACATCAACACTCCAACAGGAATTTCTCTCACTGAGTCACTAGCTCTTCCTTTTTCGAGCAGCATAACTAATTGTGAATTTTCTTTTAATCTTCGATTTTTACTTTAGATGATAGAAATGAATATATGTATATGTACAGATGTGGCAAATAAAATTTGGATGTTTTCTTTAATTTTTTGAAAATTGATTTAGTTTTTTTTTTTTTTTAGAAATATCACTAAAGCTGTAATTTTTGTATACAAAATGTGATTTAAATTGAAACATAAAAATTGAAACTTTGGAGCGGTTATGCAAATGCACTCAATGTTATATTTTGAATAAATGGACCTTTTATTTTTATTACCAGTTATAGGAATGATACGTGTGGGTTTCAAATCTTTAAATTACACTTCATAAAGATTGTACTCCCTCCGTTTCGTATTACTTGTCGTTTTAGAGTTAAAATTTTGTTTCATAATAATTGTCGTTTTAGGTTTTCGATGCAAATGTTTGGTGAAAATTCCAGTTTTATCCCTACTGTTTTAATGTTTCGGCCAATGAATTTTTTTGTAAAATATATTAATAAAGAGTAAAACAAAAAATTTAATGCTTTTCTTAATTTGTGTGAGAAAACCTTAAACGACAACTAAAACGAAACGGATGAAGTATTAGATACAAAATTGTATCCTACCAAAAAAAAAAGATACAAAATTGTAACTTGATGCATATCAAAAGAAGAAAAAGAAAAACATTGGTGATCAAGTGGGATGCTGAAAGTGAAATTTCTTAATAATATTTTTGACAGCAGTTACATTTCAAGTTTTTTACTTTTCTCTCATCCGATTAATTATCAAATTACTAGACAATTTCAAAAGTGAAAATTGATAACAATTATGATCATTTAAAAAAAAAATCATTTGGTATTATTATTATTATATATACACATAATCCGTTTCAAATTCTCTTCCCTCTCCTTTTCTTCGTTCGTTATTCAAGAATCCTCAATTCATAGAGATCATCTTCTTCCTTGGTCACAGAGATAATCAAAGCTTCATCTTCCTCTTCTTCGGTTAGTTATTTAGCTCCGTCCCTGTTACGCAGTTTTCATAATACATAGTCGTTGTCTTCAATCTCTTCTTCGCACGTTCTTTAAGAGTCCCAATATCACAGATCAGAGCCATCTTCTTCCTCTCTCTCTCCCCATGGATTTAGCGGAGGCAATTCAAGAAACTGGCTACTGTTCACAGGTGGTCAAATTTAATTCGTGTAATAGTGTTTGGCTCGTTGATATCTCGAAATTCGTGGACTGTTCTCATATTCGGGTAAGTATTGATAATCACACCAGAGAAGAAACACAATCAACAGATTGATCAACCAAAATGGTTTTCTTGCAGAGACAGAGCAGTGCAGACAACAACAACAACAACAACAACAACAACATGCTGATTTATCTAAGAGAAAATCACGTGGAAGACAACATCTGTCAAGTAGATAACTTGTGCTCTCTTGCCTGCAAGCTTGACCATGTGCTAAACCATTATGGGACGTTATCAAACATTGTCAAGCAACATACTGTGAAGAAGAAGAGGACCGGTGGAAGGAAACGAGGACAGATCTCAATCTTTCATGGTTTTTACAGGCTGTTCCTTCTCAATCGAAAGACAAGGTCTGGAGGAAGGAGAAGAAGAACATACGTTAACCATGCCGAGAGACTCTTGCCTCACAAGAAAAGGCATAGAGGAGCAGAGTAAAGTGACCAAAACCACCTACTGAAGAAGATCTTTTGCTTACATTTTGAGGTTCTTGCATTCTGATTTTGCTGATTCTAAGTTACAAATTCTCCACTGATATTAGAATGTGTTTTGCTGAACGTGAAGTTGTCTATGGAGATGTTTTGCTTACATTTTGAGGTTTTAGCATTCTGATATTGCTGATTCTAAGTTTCAATTGCTCCATTGACATTAGAATAATGTGCAACTGAATGAATCAATGAAGGGATAGAATTTGAATCAAAAGAGGAAGTATGTGAGTTCTACAAGGATTAATATTCTAAATCTGTTAGGGTTACTGTACGGAATTAGACCTCAAACTTTAAGCTTTCTTAGACTTTTTTATCATTTCACTGAACCTTGGTTATGCTTGAGTCTGTTGATACGCTTCTGCACTTGCTTTGCTGATTTTCTCAAATAGATCTTTCTGTTTCAGCAAACAATCACCTTCTTTTCACACTATGCCTGTTTATCCTTTGACTTAAACACTTGTTGTGCTTCTTTCACATGGTCTTTGACTAGTTCATTGAGGACATCATCATACATGTTCTACATGAAACCACACTTTCACAACCAAAGTTACATATACTGCAACATTTGTTGATTTCCACATAAACAATTACTGCATTTACAAACTCCCTGGCATGAAGACTCCTATGAGATCTTACTGATTTGATCATCATACAGTCTGTAACAATATCATATCTTCAAGAACCTGATATCAACCTCAGAGAATGAACCTCTCTAAAAAAACTCTTGCAAATACCCTGAAATCTTCATACCTACCAGCCTTCTTTGAGTAACTAGCAGACTGCTGGATTATCTTTGAATTTCAAGCCTTAATTGATGTTCAAACAGGAACAGCCATGAACCCGTATAGTGTACTAGTCAAGCAACTAAGGCGTCCCCTAGTCCCTAGGTTAGGTATTTAATTTTTATATTAAGAGTGTCAATGGTAACATGAAAAAAATATTCAGCCAGATTCAGCAATTCCGCAGTTACCATTTGCATAAAACTAAATTCAACTGAAATCAGCCAGATTCAACAGTTTTTCCAACATCAACACATACATAGTATGTTCATTTCAGATAAAAATTTGGATTATAGCGATTCACAACTCGGATTAAAATATTTTTGGCTATTAAAAATTACACATCAAATTTATATTTTAAAATAAGTTAGATCATACAAATACGATATATGAATAATTCATACACATAAAATCGTTACCAGAATAGACAAGAGACATATTTATGTTCAGATATCTATAGATAATTTTAGATAATTTTAATAAATTTTAGATACTTAAATATAATTTTCCAAATTTTTGCAAAAATAACTCATACTTATGCTAAAATAATATTTAAAATATCAAATTAAAAAAAATTGTTAAGCATCCTAATCATATTAAGGATTTAAACTACTAGAGAACAATGAAAAATCAATAAGATAATCTATACTTTATTATCATGTTTATTTTAAAATTAATTTTTCAATAAAACTTTGACAAAACTTTCTATTGATTAATTATATCTTTTTAATAGTTCAAAAATTAGATTTGGAAGAACAACTCAATTTTGCTAAAAAGGTATTAATTCTAATATTTATTTATTGGTATAAGAGTTAATTAGACTATTAGATAATTTTATCTATTTTATTTAGATATTTTCCTTAGTTATTTTATAATATTCGTAATTATTTGACGATATTTCAGTTAAAGTCTTAATTATTTCGACAGATTCTGCTGAAAAGTACAAAAAAAATCAGCTAGATTCAGCGGTTACTATTTGAAAATATAAAAATTCAGCCAGATTCAGCTAAAAATCACTAAAAATTCAGCCAGATTCAGCAATTCAGCCAGATTCTTCGGTTACCATTTAGACCCCAGTTTTTAATCTTTGAATCCTTGGTGGATTTCTTATCTCACCTCAGGTTTATTGTTTCGTTTTACTTAACGAAATCAATTCTTTGTTTACCTTAAATGAAACTGCTGATATTTTTACCCGTTCTCAAACAAAATATTTTCCTATTTTTGTGAAACCCTAGAAAAAAAAAAAAAAAAAAAGGCATCGTCACGAAACAATCATATTTTCTATATTTTTTGGGGGGATTCATCGCTTCTGCTCATAGATTTATCATCATGAGTAAGCCGAGATGGTTTCAAGTATTAACAGAGGAAAACTTAGATGGATACTGCAAAAAGCATAGTTGTGGTTTCCGAAAAAACATCTTCAGGTTCGAGTCATGTGACGTGGTGTGCCTTGAAGGCATAGATCCATACCATATTCAACCTCATGTTCAAGTATGTTCTTCGTATCTATAAACCCTAATTATGTATCTTCGTACTTTTTTTTTTAATTATGAAATTTGCATCTTTAATTGATGTAGGTGGTCCCCTTGTTTGATGTTAACGGCCTTGACATGGACGAAATCTCTGATATCTTTGATTGTTTCCAAATTCAAGTAACACAAAATATACAATTACCGCATCTATATATTAATTTCTCTAATAAAGGTCTTAAACAGTACTTTATAAGTTTGTTTTTAAAGAATAAAGGTCTCATTGGAGGGAAGGGGCTGATAGCGTTGAGGCCATGGCGAAGATGTATAAGAACTAAAGAAGGTTGCACTAAGCATGTCCGTGGGACGTCCAAGTTCTGCTCGTTCACATGCAAGGTCCTCTTGTAAATTAAAAAAAACTTGAGAGTTTTTGATGGAAATTACATTGGTAAATAAGTTACTGGTGTTAGCAGGTGGAACATGTTTTGGAGAATGAAGGTGATTTGTCTAGCATCATCAGAAATTGGTCAGAGGATGATTCAAGAGAAACGTCCGAACATATTGATGATCTATCACTCCATCCTTGTGGTGATCCAGAGAAAGTCTTTCCATTCAAAAAGAGGTCTCGAAGACGAATAGAGTTTTATGACAGTGACGAATTTGAAGAAGCCTTTGCATACAGGTATAAACATACTTGTTTTTGTTTCTTTTGTGTCTAGTTTCAGAGATCATCTCTTGGTTGTAAACAGTGTTCACAAGATTTTTATCCAGCGGATAATATATCTTAGCTTAAGATCGATCATGAGATTGTTTATTAGTCTTGGCTATTGGAGAAAGTTTGTTTGGTTCGGGAGGCTAAAGGTTTGTTTGTTAATAGGTGCTTGTGACAGGATAATAAAGGTAACGAGATAATGAAATAACTAGTTAACTAAGTAACAAAGTGATAGAGAAATGAAATGAAGATAACATAACAAAATTTAATGTAATGATGGCAAATGTGATTTAGGATAGGTGTTGTGAGCTACGTTGATGGATGTTTGATGATGCGTGCATGTTTTATATTTAAATTGATCATTTTAATGATTTTTGTATTCACATCTCTTTAGCCCTCGAAGGAGAGCCTGATCGAGACCAGTCTTAGAGGCTGGTGACAAGGATGCGCAAAGATGAAGTTAAATGCTGGATTTAGGGAATGTTTTGGGACTCTTTGATGGATTTTTGAATATAAATGTTCAAGAGAAAATATCTCAACAATTTTTGATGAATTTAAGAACAAGATAATCAAGGGCCAAATAACAACAACTGAGAAAAAAAAATGTGTGGCTCCGGTTATCGATAAAATGAATCCGGTTCTCGAAAATTAAAACAGGTTAAGTAAACGATGACCGGAGTAAGAGGTGAGAGAAGAAACCAACTTAACCGCGACGGATTCCCAGGCTAGTATGCCACTTAATGGAGAAAATGAATCCGGCATACCATTTTGTAATCTGAATGCCACTGTAAATGTGATATTTCCAAATTACCCTTAATAAAATATCAGACGATTGGTACAACTAAGAGATGATAGTACAACTAAGAGATAATAGTACAACTGGTACAGATAGTATAACTGAGAGATAATAGGAGAACTGGTACAAATGGTACAAATAAAAGATAATAGTATAATTGGTACAAATGGTATAACTATAAATCGGTATAACTGGTACAAATAGTTATGGACAACTGGTACAAATGGTTCTACTGAAACAAAGCAATTTGTAATTCTAAACCCTAATTCTAAACTCTAGCGCCGTCACACTCAATAATTTGTCTCTTCTTGCTTTGTTCACTATCGTTGTCGCCGATTATCACCATCACCCTTCCTCGTCGAAGTTTGTGGACCGTCTTCTCTCACCAAACGATTGTGCACTACAAATGACGAAAGCACGAAGAGAAATCCATGGAGAAGAAGCTTGAAGAGAGATCCATGATTTTTAAATCTCAGAAATCCATGGAGAAGAAGCATGAAGAGAGATCCGATCTATAAAGAAGTGCGAAGAGAGATCCATGAAGAAGAAAAGATCTAGAGTTTTATTGATGATGATGATGGAGAAAAAGAGAATGAAAGATCTAAAAAACCCAGAAAAAGTAAAGAAGAAGGAGAAGAAAAATAAGAGGAGGCGTGAAAGAAGAAGAAGAAGAAAAGTAGTTATGTTATTGGATTGATAAAAGCAGTGTTCAAGAAAGCGCTAGGCGCTAAGCGGGCGGTGACCCAATGCCTAGCGCCTAGAACGCCTAATCGGGGCCTAGGCGATTTTTTAGGCGGTTTAGACGTTTATAACATAAAATATTATAAATATGATATTATATATAAAAGTTATATAAAATATCTATATAAAACTAAAAATTATGAAATTATAAACAAAAATTAGATAAAACATTTATTTATATTTATATTAAACAATATATGAATATTTATAACTATATATATAAATAAAACTCTAATTAAAATTGAAAAAATACATTAAACAAGATCTGTGTAATTTTAGGCGGTCAAGGCGGTTATCTAGGCGTCGCATAAGAGCCTAGCGCCTAGTCGGGGCCTAGGCGACCGCCTAGACCGCTTTTTAGAACACTGGATAAAAGTAAGAGTAAGTATACGTAATAATTAGATTAGGGTAAGAGTTTTTTGTCTTTTCATATTTATTTGATTTAAATTAATTTTTTTACGAAATTAAAATTAGATTGGTGGCATTCTAGGTTTTATTTTCTCGCATAGTGGCTTTCTAGCCATTGTTTCACCGCGACGCGAGTACGACGGCGACGACGAAGACTCTTTGCCTTAAGATCTGACTCTGTACTCGCCTTCCGATCAACACTCTTCCCAGTCTTCTTCATCATGTAATATATATCTTTCTTTTTTGGCCCTCCAAATTATACATCTTTGCACTTTAGTCAATTAGTTTCTGATTTTATCTATTTCATACCGTAAACCAGTCAATCGTCGCGAGTTATCGTTTCTGGGTTTTTGCTTTGGTTCATAAGTTTGATTCTTTTTAAGTGGTAATGATTCGAGTTGACTTTGTTGTGTTTGAATGGTTGACTTTTCATGTTAAAGATGATTCATTTCCGTATTTGAACATGTTTTTTTTTTTTTTAGTTTTCTAATTTTGCTAATTCTAGGTTTCAATTGATACTAGAATGTCTTTGTTCAAAGGAAAATTTATGTTATTTTCAATAAAGTTTGCAACTTGGAAGCTGACCATGGTGCTTCAACAGGTCTAAATTGATCAAGACTAGCTTTGGTTTTGAGGGATAACGAGTTTAGCTGATTATGGATTCATTTCGAAATGCCGTCAGGAGAGTGTAGTAATTTGCAGTTGGATGATCAATGAAGGGAGAGAATTTGAATCAAAAGAGGAAGCTTTTGAGTTCTACAAAGAATATGCTAAATCTGTTGGGTTTACCACCATTATTGAAGCTACAGATGGATTTAACATCCCTCAAGCAAGAAAACGCGGTAGAATTAACCGTTCATCATCGAAAACTGACTGTAAAGCATGTTTACATGTTAAGACAAGGCAAGATGGAAGGTGGGTTGTTCGTAGTTTGGTAAAAGAACATAACCATGAAATCTTCACTGGTCAAGCTAACTCTTTGAGAGACTTGGGTGGGAGGAAAAAACTCGAGAAAATAAACGTTGCTATTGTGAAGGAGGTGAAAAGCAGGAAGCTACTTGCTTTAGAGGATGGGGATGTTGAAAGACTCCTAGACTTCTGTACGGTTATGCAAGTTGAGAATCCTTTCTTCTTTTATTCCATTGATCTCAATGAGGAGCAGAGTCTAAGGAACATCTTTTGGGTTGATGCAAAAGGTATATTGGATTATACTTGTTTCTGTGATGTTGTATCTTTTGACACTACATTCATCAAGAATGAGTATAAACTGCCTCTTGTTGCTTTTACTGGCGTGAACCACCATGGACAGTTCCTGTTGCTTGGTTGTGGATTGATATCAACTGGTGAGTCTAAATATGGATTTGTTTGGCTTTTTCGGGCATGGTTAAAAGCGATGCATGGATGCCAACCCAGAGTGATACTTACCAAACATGACCAAATGCTCTAAGAAGCTGTCTTGGAAGTGTTCCCATCTTCTAGACATTGTTTTTATATGTGGGATACTCTTGGTCAGATGCCGGAAAAGCTTGGTCATGTTATGAGACAAGAGAAAAACTTTATGGATGAGATGAATGATGCTATTTACGGGTCTTGCAAGAGCGAGGACTTTGAAAAGAATTGGTGGGAGGTAGTTGATAGGTTTCATAGAGAGACAACGCATGGCTTCAGTCATTGTATGAAGATAGGAAATATTGGGTTCCTGTATATATGAAAGATTTATCTCTAGCAGGAATGTGTACAGCTCAGAGATCAGATAGCATCAACTCTGTTTTCGATAAATACATTCAAAGGAAAACTACATTAAAAGCATTTCTTGATCAGTACAAGAAAATGATACAAGAGAGGTACGAAGAGGAAGAGAAAGCGGAGATTGAGACATTGTATAAACAACCCGGACTTGAGTCACCTTCACCATTTGGGAAACAAATGGCTGAGGTATACACTTGTGAGATGTTCAAGAAGTTTCAGGTGGAGGTGTTGGGAGGAGTTGCTTGCCATCCGAAGAAAGAAAGCGAAGAAGATGGGGTTAGGACTTTCAGGGTTCAAGATTATGAACAGAACCGTGCTTTCGTTGTGGTGTGGAACTATGAATCATAAGAAGTTGTCTGTTCTTGTCGATTATTTGAGTTCAAAGGTTTTCATTGTAGGCACGCGATGATTGTTCTGCAGATGTCAGGGGAACTTAGTATTCCTTCTCAGTATGTGTTGAAGCGTTGGACAAAGGATGCAAAAAGCAGAGAAGTCATGGAATCTGATCAGATAGATGGTTATTCAGCTAATGCTCAACGGTACATGGATCTTTGTCTCCGTTCTTTAAAATTGAGTGAGGAAGCATCTTTATCTGAAGAGAGCTATAACACAGTTATTAATGTGCTGAATGAAGCTTTAAGAAAGTGTGAGAACACAAGTAAAGTTGATCCAAAATGTGGAAGTGTCAGAATCGGTGGCAGCTCAAGATCCTTCAAGACATGAAGAACAGAACAACACATTGCTTGAGAATGCGGCTGACACGGGACAGGTTTCATTTTCTTTTCAGCTGAGTGCATGGAAAAGGACAATTAATCTCCTGATCTTGTCTCATTTGACAATTATTTGGTCTGACCCGGCTTTCTCTTTGTTAAGGAACATTCATTACATGAAGTTTGGAAAGTAACTGCTTTGCAAGAACAAAGAAACCGATACTCGATTCTTGATGACTACCTCAGTGCCCAACAAATGTCTCATGAAATGGTACATAAGAAAAGTCCTTTGCAGCTACAAAGTAAAAAAGAGTTCAAACCTCAAACTAACACTGTTAGTTCCTCTTTGTGATTAACAACAAATCAACTCGATAGTCTCAAATCGAAATGGATATTGTACTCCGCATCAAAAACATACACTCCCTGGTAAGTATGTAACAGAGTTTGTCTTTGGTATTTGCAAAGAGATTCTCTGAGATATATTGCTGACGATGCTTTATGTTTTCTCATTGCAGGGACAATCCATAACTCAACAAAGGCTTTATGGAACTGTAAGTTGTTGTTCTCTGAATCAGTCTGCATAACCCAAAGTTTGAACTCATAGCAGGTTTGATTGAAGTTTTATGTTGAAAATTATGGCAGGAACAATTGAGTTTCAGACCACAAGATATGTATGAAAGACTTCAAGACATGGTAAAAGACTTGAACTAGACCTCTTAAAGCTGTATCAATTCTCTTTTTTTACAAAGGAATTTGTGTTTATTCATGAATGTTAGGGACAGTCGAGTTTTAGACATCATTCTCAGCAACATCAACAATCCAACAGGAATTTCTCTCACTAAGTCACTCTTCCTTTTTAAGCAGCAGAATTGTGATTCTGTTTTGATAATTAAAAAAAATGAACTGTTTATGTATATAAAACAAATGTGGTATATAATATATACAAATTTCATTCTTTCTTTGTTTGCAAATTTCTTTTAATTCTCCCATATTGTTTTTTCTCGCAACAATTTATTTTTCTATTTTTGTGAAACCTCATCGCTCATTTCTTCTTCCTACATCTCCATAGATTCATCATCTTTCAACACCAATTTTTTATGAGTAAACCGAGATGGTTTCAAGTATTGACAGAGGAAGAGTTTGATGGATACTGCAAAAGGCATAGTTGTGGTTTCCGAAAAAACATCTTCAGGTTCGAGTCCTGTGACGTAGTGTGCCTCGAGGGCATAGATTCGTATCATATTCAACCTCATGTTCAAGTATGCCCTAATTTATATCTATATATAAGCCCTGATTATATAGCTTCATACTTATCATAATCTTTGTATTAATGCAGGTGGTCACCTTGTTTGATCTTAACGCCATTGCGCTGGACCAAATCTCTGATTTCTTTGATTGTTTCCAAATTCAAGTAACGAAAGTATACAAATAATCCACATCTATATATCAATTTATCTAAAGGTAATTTATTTAAACACATGATTGATATTTTTTTTATAGAATAATGGAGGGAAGGAGTATATAGCGTTGAGGCCATGGAGAGACTGTGTAACTACTACAGAAGGTTGCACTAAGCATGTCCGTGGGATTAATTCCAAGTTCTGCTCTTTCACATGCAAGATCGAACATGTTTTGGAGCATGAAGGTGATTTGTCTAGCATTACTAGACTTTGGTCGGAGGATGATTCGAGAGAAATATCAGAACATGTTGGTGATTTATCAATCCATCCTTGTGGTGATCCAGAGAGAATCTTTCCACTCAAGAAGAGGTCTCGAAGAAGAAGAGACTTTTATGACAGCGACGAAGACATTTATGGATCTTACTAGTTTCAGAGATATCTCTTTAGTTCTTATAAACATTGTTCACATGTCTTACTAGTTTTTTGTGTGGATCTTACTAGTTTCATAGATATCTCTTTACTAGAAGAAGTGTGTTTAGTGATATGTCTGAGGCAAGCCAAATGAGAAACGTGAAAAAGATTTAGTTGTTTTTTCAAATGATGGAACATAGTTATCACGAAGGGTTAAATACCAATTAGGGATGAATTTGAGCTTTTGGTACGGGAGAAAGTTTGTTTGGTTCGAGAGACTAAAGGTTTGTTTGTAATAGGTATTTGTGAGTTGTGACAAGATTATAAAGGTAATGAGATAATGAAATAACGAGTTAACTAGGTAATAAAGAACAGGAAATGAAAGTAACGCAATAAGATTACTGATATGAGTTTGATTTAGCACAAGTGGTGCAAGCTACGTTGATGGATTATGCTTGATGATGATGCCTGCATGTTTTATACTTAAATTTATCATTTCACTAATGGTACACACATCTCCTTAGACCTCGCAGGAGAGCCTAACCAAGACCCAGTTTTAGAGGTCGGTGCCTATGGATTTTTTTTTTTTTTAAACTTAAAATATATTTATTAAAGAGATTCTTAACCAATCTACCCTCGAATCGTGTTTTGATTTTACGTAATGCCATTTTAGAAAAGTCGTTTCCGAAAGAGGTCATATTCAGGTTCTATGGCATATGGTAAAGACGTCTTTGCCCCCATGGACATTGGCATGAAATTATTGACATCCACACCTTCATCAGGTTCGGTGGACTTTTCTTGGACAAATGTATTCATTTTGTCCACCGTTACCTCACAACCAGAATTGTCTACAGTTTGTTCATCATTTTGGATGGACAATTGGCTGATATGTTCTGCGTTGATGTCCATAGCGTCCTTCTCCTAGAAAACATCATGATAGTAGCAATAGGATCAGTTTATAGAGTGTAAAACAAATAATCCAAAATTTAATTTCAAATACTACTTCCTCAGTTGCAGCTTCTTCTTTTCCTTTATCGCAAGTTGAATTATTGACATCCACACCTTCATCAGGTTCAGTGGACTTTTCTGGAACAGATGTATTCATTTTGTCCACCGTTACCTCACAACCAGAATTGTCTATAGTTTGTTCATCATTTTGAATGGACAATTGGCTGACATGTTCTGTGTTAATGTCCACAGCTTCCTTCAGCTGATTATTGTCCTCGTTCAAGGGCAAATACGTCTTTCCATGTGACGTAAATGGCGTTGCGCACGAGAGGTTTTTTTTTAATGTCATTTTAAAAAAACAAAACTCAAATAAGGCTATTATTATCAAAATTCCCTTTATTAAACTTCCCATTAATATGCTTTGGTTCAAGGGCCAGTTACAAGATTACAAAACAGAACAAGCCCAAATCAAAAAATTGCCAGAGAAGGAGATTTGAGTTGGACGTCGAACTCTTGACCGGAACTAGCTCAAACCTAATTTAACACCAAGCCAAACTCGGAACAATTCTTGCGGAAATGTCGGATCTGAGACTTCCGGGACCTCATCTCTCAACTTCAGGGATCTTTTCTTTCTGTTTAAGACTTTCTTTGGTTCTTTTATTTCAGTTAGTATACGGGTGTTGTCAACACCGTGTTGATGATTTGGATGATGTTGCTTTAGCTTACGAGTTAACGTATTTGAGTGTTATCCTACAGTTGAGACCATCGCCTATAATTGAATCTAAAAATTTAAATATATAGATTGAATATTTCTATATGCAAGATAGTTATTTTATATATACATACTCCTTTCCACAATTATCATATGGATACAATAGAAATTTATTATAAATAAAGACAAACAGGTAAAAGATGTGTATAGTGTAGACTCAAAACTGCATATCGAGAAAAATAAATAAGCTAAACGCCATGCACATAATGACATAAAACACGTATATTAAGTTAATTTCAGTCGTCATTAACTTGACATGCATGTAAAGACAAACGTCTCGCCTTTCACGCTATACCCGTATTTTTCAAAACTCATAAAATAAAATAAAATGTTTTTCGTTTTGTTAGGTGATACAATTAAAATTTAGCTAGGATGATATTGACTTGGTCGTTGTTTTGCTTGTCGAGGAAGTTAATTGTCCTTACTTAATGCTCAAGAGTCGCTTTATCATTTCTTAATTTAACAATTGCTATCATAATTCAGTTTGAATGATTTTTTTTAGTAACCGGAGTAGATCTATACTGAAAATTCAAACTAATTCTCAAAATATATATAGAAAATGACGAATATATTTGTTATTTAAAACGTTTACGGTGTTTAAAAGAAAACAAAAAATTAGAACAATTCTTGGGTTCACCCCTAGGGGTGAACCCTTGTATTCACCTCTTTTGTAAATTAAAAATAGAAAATTTTTACGTTAAATTTAATTAAAAATAAAATAAATTAAAAAATAGAGCTCGTGTTAAAATAAATTAAAAATAAATTAAAAAATAAATTAAAAATAAAATTTTTACCATTTCATAACATTTAATTAAAAATAGAAAATTAAACAAATTAATAAAATAAATTAAAAAATAAAATCATTAACCAAAAGATTAAGTTAGTTAACGGAGACGTCGTTGGTGTTAGTATTTTACGTTAGGGTTTTGATTTTTTTTCCATTGCCATTGATACGTCGTCATCGTTTGAAGAAACGTGAAGACATGGGAAAGACGACGACGACGGTTTTCCTTGGCAATTTTATGATTTCCATCTTCTAGGACCACAATTCTCCAAATCTCTTTAATTTTTTGTGAACCTGCAATTATTAGCTCTCATATAATTGCTTATCAGTTTGAAGTGGTATAAGAGTATTACTTGGTTTGGTCTCTCTTGTTAACCTGACTTGTTCAATTTTTGCTAGTGATTGCTTGTTTTCTCTTTCTGACTTGTTCAATTTTCCGTACAGGATATGATGGAGCCTAAGATTTATGAAATGGACATAGCTTAAAGTTTCTAAGTTTCAGCAGCATCATATTGTAGTCTTTTACAAGTCACAATAGGAATTGTATTATATGTATATAGACACACGTATGAGTATCTCTATATTCACACCATCAAATTTAACTTTCTAAAAAAAAAAAATCAGAGATGATCACTACCTGCAATTAGTTTTCAAATTTGTTCTTGTTCTTTACCTATTGCTTTTATTTATGAGCAAAGACAAAGGTATTTTAACTGATAAAGTCAACCTTATACCATCATTTGTCTTTGGTTTCCCGACGTCCCACTTTTGTAAAAGTCATCCGTTCATTTTAAATGCTTCTTCTTTTTTCTCCCAACTGGATATCACCAATTATCATTTTACATTATATCCCAACTAGGACACTATCATTTCATAATGCTCGACTATATGTAAATGTAAGGTACGTCGCGTAACGAGATAGACACGTCATTTTCTAATCAAAACATATAAAGCAACGAAGGTTCATGAGTTTTCCAATGGGATTTCTTCATCGTGCATATAATTTAGTTGCCGGTAGAAATTTGGTTGAAGACTAATGTGGTTTGATTTAGTTTCTCAGGAGCTTGTTGAAGAAATTGAGATATACTTTGTGTCTTTGTGCTATATGATCGAGCTGGCTATGGAGAGAGGAAATAATAAGAAAGAAGAAAGAAGATCAATCTAGAAAAAAATAATAAAATAATTCGAATGTGATTTCACAAGAGAAAAAAAAACTCAAACTAGCTTGGTGCTACGAACGTGACTTTGAAAGAACATATGCTCTGTTTTAAATGATAACAGAGCTTTACGATGGACCACCACAACTCTTGTCAAATTCCTACAAAATATAAAAGAGAGAATATACTTGTGTGTATCATGCCTTTTTCTTTTATGTATTGGCTAATACGTTTCTATGTGACTAGGATGCATCAAATGAAATTTCTGCAGAGTTGCAGGGTGTACCAAATCTCATCATTGGCAACTACAGTGATGGAAATCTCGTTGCTTCTTTGTTAGTTAATAAGCTAGGTGAGATACAAGAGCAGTGTGACAGACTAAAAACTAATTAAGCTTTCACCCATATACCACTACAAACTGATAAGCAATTAGATGAAAACTAATATTTGTAGCTTCATGCAAAATTAAAAACATTTGGAGAATTGTGATCATAGAAGATGGAAATATAATTCTGAGATATATTTGGTACTTAGAATTCTCTGGTTCTAGAATATACATTTCTAGAGTCAGAGTCTAAAGGAATATCAATTGTATCACCGTGTCGTATGCTTCAGGGAAAGAGGAGAAAGTTTTGACGACGTTGCAGCAGAAACAATTCCAAAATTATGAAAGTTCTAATACAATAGAAGTGGGTGAATCAGTAATGCTAAATATCAATGGCCATGGAAAAAAAAATCAAAACCCTAACGTGAAATACTAACACTAACGACGTCTCCGTTAACTAACTTAATCTTCTGATTAATGATTTTATTTCTTAATTTATTTTATTAATTTGTTTGATTTTCTATTTTAATTAAATGTTAGATGACATGACACATTCATTGGTTAAAAACAAAAGAGGTGAATACAAGGGTTCACCCCTAGGGGTAAACCCAAGAATTGTTCCAAGACGAATCATTACTTTATTTTTTCGAACAAGTTATTGGACCACACAATTTTGGTTATTTTGCATTACATATATAATACAAATGTATATTATGTTATCTTTATGTATAGACTTGATATAAGCTAAAATTGCTAGAAACAAATCTATGCGTTAACTTGTTGATCGGGTCAGCTGCTATTGTGTGAAGTAATGAATTAAATCGAAAATTAAATTAGAGGTTTCTTCAAATCCAACCATTCACATTTCCTTTTACTAATGAAATTCTGACGATGTGGTATAGAATTTCTTAGCTTACTCGTTGGATGATAATCAAATTGATTACGTGATTATTGTAATAAAGATGAATCCAATTTATTTAGTTAAATAAAAAATTGTATAGTCGAGTAAATATACATGAACGAATGAACCATATATATAGATCCGGCTGGTACCTATTATATACGTAAGAATATCAACTTTTTTTTCTTTCTTTTTTGGTGTGCAAAACGTATGAAAAATCAATCAAGAAGTTTTAATCAAGTTGTGAACCACAGATTCTAAGCATGCATGTGAGTAAAATGTGAAGGGAATTTAACAATAATTGTTGCAAAGTTGACTTTATGAAATATACCCATAGGACTGGTCATAAACTTTGACCATGAATTACGATTTTTGAATATTCTTAAAGCAATTGAAAACAAAGTCGAGTAAAATTTTGACTGCAGAAATGGTTCAATTGACGATGCTCTTTGTCAGCCTCATTGAGGAAATTACAGCATAAAATAACGAAAATTAACGCGTTTAATATATGAGTATAGATTAAGTCTCCGACATCATCTTACAGCTTTACTTAATTTAATTCTGTTACTCACTGTTCTATATCTAATTATGATTTTTTTTGTTGAGTTCACACATGCATTATAGTATTATATTTGAACATTAAAAATAATTCACTACTAAATTTCATAGGACGATCGTTTAACTAGTTCATCTGATGAATTTTACGGAGACATGTCAAAGTCTCGAAATGTATTTACATACGTGGGAAGTGGGAACGTAAGCACATACGAAAACATATATATTGTTTTGGTACAAGAATCAAAATGGATCAAGATATTTAAAGGTTAGAGAAATTACAGACATAATAATGAAAAAATATAGGTTATTTCAAACTACTGTAAAATTCATTATTTCAATATATCTGTTAAAAATATATTATATAGAATAAATTATTATACCATTAAAAGAAATATAATTATTTATTTATCTACTTAATTAAATCTTAATGTGTATTTAAAACAAACAAAATTAATGTATTGACCATAATGATTAGTTTTCAAAAAACAGAGAGATCTATAACAATACCAACAACACAGAAACGTTAACTATGCCCGTTTATTAGAACCGTAATGTGTATGTGTTTGTTTGTGACTTTGTGTAGTATGGTAATTAAACGCGGACCTTTAAATCTTTAGGTCATGAGTGAAGAGAATCGTACAAAATTTACATCATCTACTGGAATGGATCATACTATATTATTTCTTCAACAAATATTATTAAAAAATGCTCACTCGAATTGTAAAGCAATTTTCCCAAAATATTACTAGTCCCCTAAATAACAACATGAAGATCATGATTATCATCATCTCTATGATATCAATTATTGACTAAAAACAACTACTATATATTATAAATCAAGATCTCTCATCATAAACTCCTCCAATGTTGCCGTCTCATGGTGGAAATCGTGATAATAATCCATGTGACCCGAACTATCATCATAACTACTATTCCCGGAATATTCCTTCAGAAGATCTTGATCATCGTACCTGCTGCCGTAAACCGCCGAGTTAGTTTCCTCTCCTAGCTGGTACGACATCGTTGATTCTGTACCTGACCAAGTCACGTGAGGCTGCTCGTTACTCACGTGTTGGTTAAGCACATGATGATCATCGTGATTACTCCGATCGGCGGAGACAGGAAATATAGCTTCTTTAGAGATTGTTGTAGGAGACCCAAAATCTAGAGTAACCGGACCTTTTCTGCGGTTGGATCCACCTCCCGCAGAACGTCCCGTAAATTTCTGAACAAGGGCTCGGAAATTGCTAGGGTTTGCGTTTAGGAGGGTCGTTGGTATGGCTCTCCTCGAAGCCCTAGATCTCCTTCCGGCAGCTTCTTGTGCCACCGCACCACCATCTTGAAGGGAAGATCCCGATGATGAACCCATGTTAATGGCGTTGAAGCACGGATTAATCTCTTGAATTTGGTGTTGTTCATAGTGTCGCAACCACTGGTCTTCTCTAGAGTTGTTGTTCATCGGATTTTGGTTTTTATTGTCTATTTCTTTTCTCTATTTTGGTGTAGCGTGTATACATTGCATAGGAGGTAGGATTAAGGTTTACTTTATATGCGGGAAGGAGATGTACCACGAGATGGTTGACGTTGACTTGTACCTTAAAGATTTTAATATGTTTTGTATTTAAATAACTACGATAAATTAAATTGGGCAGTGTGTAAATTATTTTGAGTGTTGAAGAAGTATTTGTATAAATTAGTATTCTTTCTCCGATCACAACCAAGCGATGTAGTTGGTTAAAACTGTAATCCATCATGTTTTTTCGTCAGAACTTTTATCATACTAAACTAGTATTAACCGAAATGTATGTTAAGTTTCAAAGTAGCTTGTCATTAGAGCGTTAACTTGTATGTAAGGGTAATTCCAATATATGTACATAAATATTTACTAGTATTTTAGGTGGATAGAGATGGAATGATATTGATTTTAATTTAATAGAAAGCGACAAATGGTGATAACATCAAACATGATCTTGTAGGAAGACTTGACTTTGATGATTTCCTGTCTCTTCGGTTCTCTTGATCGTTTACTGGTCAATGCGCGCATCTTATATAGTATATTATTTTATAAACGAATAATTTTCTCATGATCATGATATTAGATTTGTATAATGAATTCCTTTTATTTCTTATAAAAATCTTTTTCAAATTTAACAAAACAAAAAAAAAAAAATTGGATGAAACTAGAAAGAATTCCTAGTTCTAGTGTGGTAAGAGAAGCCGGTACATATATATTTAGTTAAAACTTAAAATTTGTTGGATAAAGAAAAGATTCAAATATTTGTCAGATACTTCATCCGTTCTGTTTTATTTGTCGTTTTAGAGTTAAAATTTTGTTTCATACTATTTGTCGTTTTTAATTTGTGTGAAATCAACTAGAACGAGAAGTAATTTAAAACAGAGGGAGTAGTATTGATCATGGTCTTGTCTTGCCAACATTCAAAAAAAACAAATGGAGATGTCATGCAACACGTTTGGAGGCTCACTAACCACAACAATGGAGGGGCATTACATTGAAAATGGACAAAATGTTCTCCATTGATTCGATTGTCACATTATATGACATCTTGTTTAACTTCCTGATGATGGTTCTTCCATAGATAATAAGAAGGTGCTTGGATCTCATCCTACTTGTTTAGTTTTTTCATTTCTATTTTTTTTTCTCTGGTCGTTGTGGTACAATGTGTTCATTCTTTACATTGTGAATTAGAAACGATTTTTATTTATTTAAATATGTTATTAGTATTCCCTATTCTTTGCGATTTCTATTTGGAGATTCCTAACATTGTTATAGTGCATGGTTAGAGCTCTATGTTAAAATGGATTTTCACATAAACACTTATGAGGACTAATTGGCATAGACGTAATCTTCTCCCTTTGACAGCTACTGCAAACTCATCCCAAGAGAGTTCTGTTCCGGTTTAGCAGGATTGTTTTCTTAAACCCAATATATCTGCAAAAAGAAAAAAGAACTAGCATCTTCTTTGACAAGTAAATTAGTGAGAAAGTTATACACAAACAAGAACTGAATATCATGGCAAAACAGAGTGCGAATTGTTCATATCTAATATGATTATACAAACATGAAACTGAATAAACTAAATTTAGTCGAACTTGAAGAATGTGGAAACCTGACTCTAGCTTCGCTCAAGCGAGAAAGTTATATGGCCATGCACTTGTTTATTGGGTTTTCTTGGCCACATAATTTCCTTGTCAAGAATTGGATATTATAATACAAAAATTTCCTATATATGTATAACCAACCCAAAAAGCAGTTTTCGTGAACCAAGTACCTTGACTATTGAAGGAGTCAATAGTGAGTTGGTCAAAGGTGTTGACCACGAACTACAATACTTAATGAGTTCTCACACCAATGTTCGAGGAACTATGAAGTATGAACAAATACTAATACTATAGGTGCATGCTGATATGAAAACAATTTTATAGGAAGCGCCAAAAGGTGATAACATCAAGTACGATCCTATAGGAAGACTTGACTTTGATGAATTTCTATGTCTCTTCGTTCTCAAGATCGTTTACTGGTCAATGCATCTTTATATATATATATATATTACAAACAAACTTATTTTTTCATGATTTTGATATTAAATTTATATGATGAAACTCCATTTAGACTCACATTTACCAAGTCTATGGTAGTACAACACTATGTACTAATTATTTATTACCCGATTTGGGCTATTTGATTTGCTTTAATATGTGTAACGATTTGAGTTTGGGAAGAAGACTATGTTAGGTGTTAGTAATCTCGTTTTTCATGCTAAAACCTTGTTTATCATTTGCATTTTTACTCTCAACCAAGTTTTAGAAATGCATTTAGGAGATAGTTGTATATGTGAAAGCTTTGCGTTTAGAGGATATATCATGATCTATAAGGATTGATCATGATTGATAGAAATTAAAAAATATAACCAAAAGGCCCATATAAGGCCCAAATAAAATCCGTGAACTGAATAATTACGACACAGTTATCTTCCGCGCCATCTAAACGACAGTAATCACTCACTGTCTGAAATTTTTCCCCCTTTTGGTTTCAATTTTTTTCCTTAAACCCTCAAATAAAAAAATTAGGGTTTCTCTTGTTCTTCACGAAATTGGGATTTGTTTTCTAGTTGTTATGAAAAGATGAATTTGATTTCCAAATCATTGACAAGAATCGAAATTTCGCCATTTTTCCATCCCGGAGCTTCAGAAATCACTACCGGAAAACGGATAACCTCTCCGCAAATCCGCTTTTACACTGCGGCGGCCGGCGGCGGGAGCACCGGAAATGGCGTAAAGAAACAAAGAGCCAAACCACCGAAGAAAACTCCGGAGGCATTGACACCTGTGAAAACGCCGGAAATTGCGCCAGTCACGGCGACGAAGCGGCCAAATGAGATAGCTTACGAGACTGAAGTAGCGAATTGGGTGAATCTGATTGGATTTGTTGATCAACCAGTTCAATTCGAAGCTTCTTCTGATGGCAAATTCTGGGCTGGTACTGTTATTTCCCAGAGGTCTGCTTCAGATTCCTCTGGTTTCTGGTACTTTCTCTAATCTTTACTCAAAGATGACAACTTTTTTTTTCCTGTAACATTGTTAGTGATTCATACTATTTGGATTTGTTTGTCAGGATTCCGATAATATTTGAAGGTGATTTAGCTAAAACCGCAGCTCAAAATATAAATAAAGACGATCAAATTCATGTTTCTGGGAAGCTTTTTATAGATTCTCCTCCTCCAAATATGACTTATGCACAAGCCAATGTTCAGGTGTGAGCCTTAATCAGTATTTGATAAGCTTTATGATACTTGTGAGAAGAGTACTATGTTGATTTGATTATCCTTTGAGTCTCCACAGAGCCTTTGTAACTTTAGGTGGTTGCTTTACAACAGGTGTTGGTCCAGAATCTTAACTTTATACAGCCTATGTCCCCGTCTCCGTCGCCACTTATGGTTATGTCATCATCTGAAAAGGAAGAAAGTGGCATCAAGAAGCAGCCTGGTATGTCTCATGTAGCATTTCCAATTAACTCTGTTTTACAATTGGCGCCTGTGCAAGGCTCTTAGGGAGCTACTTTTCAATCTCTTGTTGTGTGTTTTCTTGTGAACTCTCTCTGGCATACATTTGTATTCAACTCACTGATTAATGGTTTGATAAAAATATTTGAGTCTCTAGCTAGAGCTAAGAAGGATATAGTCATTGATGAAGCTTCAGATTCTTGGAATCACCTCATTGAGAATCCTAAAGAATGGTGGGATCACCGGGAAAATAAAGTCAACGGATTGGTAATGCCCCATGTGCTTAGTTATTCATCCTTATCTCACTCACATTCTTTTGATATGGTGTCTGCTAAATCTCTCTCCTAGTTCTTGACTTCTCGGTTATTCTCCTGCATAGGTAAAACCAAGGCATCCTGATTTCAAAAGCAAGGACAGTAGTCTCTCACTGTGGCTCAATAAGGCTCCTAATTGGGTTTTGCCGAAACTCGAAGGACTCAAGTTTGATGTTCTAGTCCCTAAAGGCAGAGTTGTAAAACAGCTTAAAGGTAAAGTTCCCAATCATTTCCATGTTCATATGAAACTACACAAAGAAAGTTGTGTACAGTTATGTGGCATTTGTTCATGTATGTTTGTATAAACTGAACTGGTCTGAGATGGTGTAGGAGAAGAATCATGGAAGGACTTGGTTCAAAACCCGGATAAATGGTGGGACAATAGAATTGACAAGGTAGGATATCAATATCGGTTGCTTGGTTTTTCATCAATCTTTCGAAGAAACTGACCTATTGTCCCAATATCGTTTTCATTTGAGTGTAGAGAAATGCAAAAGCCCCTGATTTCAAGCATAAGGAGACAGGAGAAGCACTGTGGCTAAACGAGTCTCCTACTTGGGTATTACCGAAACTGCCACCAGTCAAGAAGAAACAAGAAAGTATTGTCTGATGAAAAAAAAAAAAAAAAAAAAAAAACAAGAAAGTATTGTCTAGTAGCTTTAGAAAGTCAGAAACATTATCTCCATGTAAAGAGCTCGAATTGGTGTTTACAAAATTCATCATTTCTATTCTATGTGGTCATTGAAGTTCCATTTGATCTTTGGTTAGTAGACTCAATACAGTAGCTATAAGTGTGGATAATACCAAAATCTCGGGTAAACAAGCATATTAGGTCTTAAAAGAACTTATTGCAAGAGTGTTTCAATTACACAGATGCAACCAACAACGTTAACAAGCTCAACTTAAGAGAAAAAGGGGCTAACTATTGTCTTGCAAAGTAGAAAGATGACTAAATACTATTTACTATAAAACTTAATAAAAGGCCTTTGACACTTCTCTCCTTATTCAGCTCAATTCACTGCAGCATGCTCTCTGTCTAGTATCTTCTTCCCTGTGGAAACTGAAACACAGGACCATCTCAGTAACAAATATGCATAAAATGGAGTATTTTAATGCTTGATAAGGATTTAGAAACAGAAAGATGCAAGATACATTTATGGTTAGAGAACGTACTTGGTCAGACCCAGGCTGGCCTGCTGGATTATTGTTGTTCCAGTCTGGATTCCTCTGATTTGCCTGTGGAAATGTTTGATTCTGCTCTTGTCCAGGTCCAGAATATCCCTGACCATAACCGGGATTTCCAGTTCCTGGTGCAGGACCAAAGTTTCCAGCTCCTGGCGCAGGACCAAAGTTTCCAGCGCCCTGTGGACTGTAATTCCTAGGTCCGCCTTGGTTGTAACCTCCTTGTGGCCCTTGGCTATAGTTCCCAGATCCACCTTGACCGTAACTGCTTTGTGGTCCTTGGTATGGAGGCACTGGAGATCCCTGGCCTTGATTGTAACTCGCCTGATATGGAGGTGGTGGAGATCCCGGGCCTTGGTTGTAACCTCCTTGAAATGGTGGAGGCGCTTGAGTTCCCTGACCTTGTCCTGGAGTGCCATAGCCCTGTTGAGGACCAAAGCTCCCTCCACCACCTTGCATTGGCGGTTGCTGACCATACTGCGTGTTTCTTTGGAAGTTTTGGAAACCACCACCTCCTCCTCCTGAACGGTCAAATCTAGGACGGGGTCTTGTTCTGCCACTCTGAATCGGTGGTGGCCTGTGTGTGATCACTCCATTCTCGTATTTATCTCCTGAAAACAAGAAACATAATTTTGTTGGCAGAGTTCCAACAATATATATCCAAAATAAGACAAGTTTGGAAAACCCCCAGCTCACCTCCATACTCTTTGTTCTGGGGATCAATGTAGGAATCAGGCAATATGAAAACCACTCCGGGTAGATCTGTTACATACAGATAACAGAGGAGTCAATTTCTTGGTGACAAAAGTTAAATTCAAAGGAAAACAACATAAACCATTATTTGTAACAACATACCCTTGAACTTCTCTGATTCTTGCTCAGTCATGATTGCTTGAAAACCTTGGTAAGTAGTTGTGCTACAAGCATACATTCTTTTCTTTGCCTCTTCCACACTGACTCAACCATAAACACCAAATAAAAGTCAATAAAGTCGTCTAAACCAATAGAAATGCAAGAAGAAAGATACACTAAAATTGAATCAAAGCTACATAACAGTGGCTCTCCCCTGTAACTATCCTATTTTCTGACCCTAGCAATGGTAAAGAACTCAAAGAAACCATATTTTAGACAACATAAGCAACAACAACTCACTGAAATTAAAAACTTGATACAAATTAGCAAAAAAACAACCAATCTAAGTTCGAACACAAATGTATGCAGTGACAAATCCAATCCATCTACTAACCTGATACCAAGTCCTAGGGCACAAGTTTCTTCATAGGCAGAGACCATTTCCTCTGGAGACTTACGAGTTTCCTCTTTGGAAAAATCCATAGTGATAAGCCAGTGATTATAATCACATCCTTCGAACAACACAGTGTCTTCCGTGATCTCATCACCTTCTTTGTAAAGCTTGTACTGCCTCGTCGAATACAGTCTCGCCGGAGCTCGAGTAGCTACTTCCGTCGAACGCCCTAAAACGGATCTCTGTAATACCGCCGCCGACACAGAAGGGAAATCGGACGCTGGTGCAATGGAAGTTCCGATTGATCGGTTAACATAGGAAGTCGCCGTGAGTAAAGCTCGTCGGATACGGTGAGATAACATAGCCATCGACGTCGGAGATAGAGAAATGATGAAAGTAGTCGAGAATTTTTCTGGAAGCTTTAGAGAAATGAAATTAGGGTTTTTGTGTGGGTTTTACAATATGTAAATAAATATTAAATTACTTTTTAAGTCCTTATTGTTTCAAATGTTTTCAATCTCCGCCTAAAGTTTCAAATTTTATCATTGGGCCCAAAAACTTAGGCCTTAGCTTTTCTACGATAACGCTGTCGTTTTAAAAGTCTTTGTTTGTTTGTTTTTCTTCTTCTCTCTCTATCTCCGGCGACTGGGAATTATGTGGTCGGCGACGTTATCTTTCCCTTCTTTTGTGGCTTCTTCATCTGCTCTACCAAATTACAGGAACCGTAGGTTTCCGAAGAGTAAAGCTTCGCTTTTTAATTACCCTCTTGCGAGCAAAATCATGGTCAGAAGTAAGATTTTTAGACCATCTTTTGGTTTAGACTCTAATTTGCTTCTCTCTGAGATTAGATGATGATTCTGTTTCTCGTTTGGTTGAGAACAGAAAAGTTAGTTGATTTGTGTCAGGATTGTGTTACATATGTGAACTTAGCAATCATTAGTAAGTTCAATTTGGTAATTACTCTATGTTTCTGATGTTTCGTTGCTTTGAATCTGTAGATTTACCGTTTTCTACAAGTGAAGATTTTCTAAAGAGGGAGTTTTCAGCTTTTGGAGAGATAGCTGAAGGTATGTTAACTTGATTGTGTTTGCATTTACTCTGTTTTGTTGCTTTAAGGTTCAGTTTTATGGTATTGATATGTTGTTCACTCCAATCTTTCAAAACAGTTAAGCTTATCAGAGATGAGTCAATGAAGAGATCTAAAGGTTATGCTTTTATTCAGTTCACGTCTCAAGATGATGCTTTTCTTGCCATAGAGACCATGGACCGTCGGGTAAAAGCTTCTTTTCATCACAAGCTTTAATGGAATAAGCAAGTTTACGGTTTTCATGTCTTGAAATCAACCAAAATGTTTCCCATTCCTGTTGCAGATGTATAATGGTAGGATGATTTATATAGACATTGCGAAACCCGGGAAACGTGATTTCCAAGGACTGCCGAGGACTTCTGGTCCCCCTGAGAAGACAGATGTGCCAGAAGAAGCCGGTAATGATGAGGTCGCTGATTGCTGGTATTAATTGTTAGTATCAAGCTCCTCAAACTGTAACTGAACTTGCATAAATCAGATGTCTTATTATATAAAGAGAATAATGAGTCAAATCATGCTTTCTTATTAGGAATATTGATGAATGTGAAGAATGTTGTTTTACTGATAAACAATTATTGACACAGTTCCAGACAGTTATAGCTCTATTGGTTGCTACAACGACCACATTGTTGGAGACTTTGGTCACTGCATTTGCAGGAATCTGTCCAGATTGAGCGAAAAACGAATGCTGGTAATGGTTTATCCGGTTTGGGAATACCAAGACACGGGAAAAATCAGCGACCCATCTCGTCCCGTTTGCGTAAACCTTTGACATTCCGGTTGTTGATTTTAACATCATCTCTGATGCATTGTTGTGATCAACCACAACTTGATCGATATCATGAAACTCTCCTTTCAGTTTGACGATCGGGAAGTTGAATTTGGCAGTACCGCTAAACATGCTATTGACGATGTTTAACCCGGAAATCTTCCCGTGTACTGATCTCAAGACGATGTTAGCATCTCCTAAGAACAGAGAATTTGTGACATGAACGTGAACAGGATCTTCAATGACTATACCTGTGTAATCAAGGTAACAATTGTCTATCCTTGTTAAATGTGATTTCACTAGAATGCCGATTCCACCAAACCATGTAGCTTTATTGTAGCAGTGCACGCCTGTGATCATATTCGCGCCATTCAACGAGATACCGATCCCAGCCGAGAAAATCACTACATTTGTAATGGCATTATCGTTACTTGAGATATCGATTCCTGTCCTGGAAAACTTTATTTCTTGTGGGTCTCCACCTACCGTTGAACGTTGCCCCAAAAAGGAGTTTGAAATGTATGTCTCGTGGCCACCCTTGATTTTAATCCCCTGAGTTGTGAAATGGAGGAAGTAGCAATCGGTTATGCGGATACGAGCTGAGTCAGTTACAAAAATACCCCCGCCTCGGAAGCTTGAGTCGAACAGAATGTCTCGGAAGGTCAAATCCTCATAGAAGATCCTGGAGTTTGATGCTACGAGTTCAACCAAATGACGATCTCCAGGAAACACTCTTGATGCCCGCAAAGTCCCGCCTTTTACCTGAATTACACCAGAAACTGGGTAATGATTTAAACTTTTGCAAAAAACAAACTCCCAACTTTTCGAAGATGGTTATAAATTGGAACTCTTTATGTAAAACTTTTAAGTGAAGTTTCAAATTAAGTCAAAGTGACTAACCACTAGATTTCCACCACCCGAGGAAGGAAACCTGAGAGGTTTTCCGATCATATAACTTCCACCCTGGAGATCAATAACAAGACCTCCAAGATCGGCAACATGTGGCAGCATATGAACCCCAATCTGTAACTGAAAAGCAGTATTGCGTCACTACTGTCTTGTGCACCGGTCGGGTCAGCTCCGTACCCAATCGGGTATATCACTCTCCCCACCTGAACATTCCAAACTCACACACACTCACAAATTGCACACACGTGCCTGTATATATGTGTACAAACTGATTGTTGGAGAGAGGTTTACCATTTTGGGAAATGGAAAAGAAGGAGAAGACAATGGTGGGAGAATGAAGTGACTACAACTTGCAAGTCTTTCTTGGATCTTGTCTTGGAATTCTGAAAGCTTTGTCATGTCTCTTCTTCTGAAGGATAATGTCTCTTCAAATTCCATTGAAATTGTGAGGATAAACAGTAACAAGCAAACAAAGCAATGGAACTTCATTTTGTTATTTTTGTTTTATATTAGTCCTCTTCTTGAGATAGAGAGAATCTGAGATTATGAAGGAGATGAAGGCAGAGAGAATGATCTATGTTAGTGGAGAGCATGATGAGCAAGTGCTTCTCTGGCGTAAGAGGTTTGACCCATCTTTATTATATGTCATAACTCATAAGGTTTATTCTATGCTAAATTATATGTTGAAATGAAGATTGAATGTTTGAAATTGAATATAAATACTTTACTTTATGGTGAACATCTAAATCTAAATGTGCAGAGCCTCTTTCATAGGGGAAACAAGATTGAGTGTGTCCAATTCCAGTCAAAAGAATCTTTCTCATTAGGACAATGATCAATACTAAGAATGATGGTTTACTGGTAAACAATTATTGACACAGTTCCAGTTACAGCTCTATCGGTCTCTACAACTACCACATTGTTTGAAACATTGGTCACTGCATTTGCTGGTATCTGCCCGGATTGAGAGAAAAACGAATGCTGGTAATGGTTTATCAGGTTTGGGAATACCAAAACAGAGGAAAAATCAGCGATCCATCTTGTCCCATTCGCGGAAACCTTGGCCTTTCCGGTTGTTGATTTCAACATCATCCCTTCTGCATTGTTCTGATCAATCACAACTTGATCAATATCATGAAACTCTCCTTCCAGCTTGACAATCGGGAAGTTGTTTTTGGCGGTACCGCTAAACATGTTATTGACGATGTTTACACCGAAAATCTTCCCGTGCACCGATCTCAAGACGATATTCGCATCTCCTAAGAACAAAGCATTTGTAACATGAACATGGACAGGATCTTCAATGACTATACTTGTGTAATCAAGGTAACAATTATCTATCCTTGTTAAATGCGATTTCACAAGAATGCCAATTCCACCAAACCATGTAGCTTTATTGTAGCAATGCACACCCGTAACCATATTCGCCCCGCCGTTCAAAGAGATACCGATACCAGCCGAGAAAATCACTACATCCGTAATGGCATTATCGTTACTAGAGATATCGATTCCTGTCCCGGAAAATCCTCTTTCTTCTCTGTCTCCTCCTACCGTTGAATGTTGCCCCAAGAAGGAGTTTGAAATGTATGTCTCGTGACCTCCTTGGACTTTAATCCCTTGTGTTGTGAAATGGAGGAAATAGCAATTGGTTATACGGATACGAGCCGAGTCAATCACCAAAATACCACCTCCTCGGAATCTTGAGTCGAAGAGAACATCTTGGAAGGTCACATCCTCATAGAAGATCCCAGAGCTCTGGTCTTTCTGATCGGAGAAAGACTCCTCGGGCGACATTTTCATTGTTTTCCGGGAGTTTGATGCCACAAGCTCAACCAAATGCCTATCACCGGGAAACACTTCCGATGCCCGGAAAGTCCCACCTTTCACCTGAATAACACCAAACAATGTGTTATAAAGATTCAAACTGTTAAACAAGAATTCCAAAGTAAATATGAGAGACTAACCACGAGATTTCCTCCGCCGGAGGAAGGGAACCTGAGAGGTTTTCCGATCATGTAACTGCCACCTTGGAGATCAATAACTAGACCACCTAGATCAGCGACACGTGGCAGCATCTCAAGTCCAGTTTGTAACTGAAAAGCATCAGTTAAAGCTTCAAGTATTGCGTCACTACTGTCTTGTCCACCTGTAGGGTCAGCTCCGTAACCAATCGGGTATATCACCTTCCCCACCTGCACAAACCAAACTCACACGCTCACAAATTACACCACACGTGCGTAAATATACAGAAACTGAAGTGGGAGGCTAACCATTTTGGGAGATTGAGAAGAAGGAGAAGACACTGGCGAGAGAGTGGGAGTGACTGCGAGTCTTTCTTGGATCTTTTCTTGGAACTTTAAAAGCTTGGTCATGTCTCTTCTTAAAGATAATGTCTCTTTAAACTCCATTGAAATCGTGATGAGAAACAGTAACAACAAGCTAACAAAGCTATAGAGACTCATCTGATTTTTCTTGACTCGTCTCTTGTTCTTGAGTGAGAGAGAGAGAATTTGTTAGGAATAATTATGAAGAAGTTGCAGGTAAATATGAGCGTGTGTGTATTAAAAGGCAAATAATCTCTGTACATTGATATACCAAAAAAAATAATCTCTGTATTAATTTTTGGTTTATTTTTTCAATGTACACCGACTCGAGTTCCAATTTATTAAACGGAAAC